GTTCTTTCCCTCCCGGCAGGTGTTATCTGTCTGCAGGGCCAAGACCAGCTTCTAACTGATTTTAACAACCCAACACATTGGCCCCAAAGAATATTAGTTCAATCACTGGACCTGGTTAATTGTTTGGGACCCCTTAAAATACATGACACCTAAAAACAACACCACAAACGATCACCAACCCATTCCAACAAGGAATTACACACAAAATTGGTTGCTGCCAAATAATATGATTTCATTACTTGGCACATTGCATGAAACATATATACTTGCAATTTGTTTCTACCCCACCATACCCCACCCATCATTCAAAATGTGGCTGCCTTGCCAAATGACAATTGGCAGAAACTCTTCCACGGCAGAACAAGAATGGAGGAGGACACCAACGAGATGGACACATAAGGGCCTGATGCCTTTGTGCTGGGCAACTTCCTGATGAATCAAGGGGGTACCTACATCCGGGCAGTGCTCGTGACGGAGTCAAAACGGCAAATCTGCCTATCCATTGACACCAATACTGTTTACATGTTTGTCACTCCCCCCAGCCTCCACCACAAGATTCTCTGGCATGGGGATGTTTCGGGATTTGAGCTCCTCCTCCACCCAATCAAGCGCCTTCACCACAATCGTTGCTTCCATTGAAGAATCCTTGGGCAGGTCCGGCTCCAGCAGGATGTAGCCCTCCAATACCTGGGGAATTCACAATACTTGGGAAAGCCAGCTGTGTTGTCCAACAAATAGGGTTTCAAAACATCAAAAATTGTTCAGCTCAAGCAAAGTCACCCCCCAGCAAATCACTGCAATCAAGTGTATTTGCGGCCGCCAAGTTTTCTCCAGGCTTTTTGCGGATGTCATGTTGCGCGGGTATCTAGTCTTCGACTGATCAAGACCATCAAGGTCTATTTTCAACAGCGATTGTTTGGGGCTTACTCCACCACCAGCAGCTGATGTAGACTGCTCCGATAATGAGTTCAAGCGCCCCTGAAGTAGGCGATAGGCTTTCACATTGTGGATGTGGGCAGATTGTGCAGCTTCCAGTTGGCTGATGAGTTTGGAGTCAGTGGTTTTGCCAATGCGGGCTGTAAACTCTGCACACTGCGTGCACCTGAATAAAACACTGAGTTCCAGGTCCAACAATATTATATTATATACATGGTTGCCTAGTTCAAAGAGTTGGCATTGACAAACAGAAGAGTAAATGCAAAGCCCAAAAAGGAAACAAATCAAGTTTCAAATCTTACCCAAGTATAGGCCCAGGCTCCTTGCATGTTGGGAAAGGGTCCGCATTGGTACAACATCTTTCCATACCTCATACATCTCACGGAATGTGCGACACCCAGCCCGCTCTTCAGATGGCAAGCCCGCCCCATCGCACCAAAGGATGTAATTCTGGAAGAATGCTTCCATTGTCATGTGCCCAATATGCCGCGGCTGCAAGCCACCTAACTGAATGTTTGGCACCAGAAGGAGACTTAACACAAACTTTCTTCCCCAAACTAACAAGTTGCATTTAAAACAAAAGCCACCAAATGCCACTCAGTAACATTTCAAGGCACAGGAAGCAGCAATGTTGGTGCTTACCCAGCTGCGATCACTCAAGGACGGCACCTGGCCCAGAACACTGGGCGGCAGCTCAGCAGAGGTGTCACCTGGACCAGGGCAGGGCAATGGGGCACGGGAACTGGTTTATGGTTTTTATGGTGGATAAAATATTAAACCCAGAAAAAAGAAACCCCAATAGCCTGGTAGAAATAGGCCAGAGACATGCAGATTCGCCACATAGGGGTCTTCCAGCAGTGCAGGGGTCTCCGCAAGAGGTTCAGCCTCAACAGGGTTTAAAGGCAAAACTAGTTGAAAACAAACACAATGACAACCAGGTTTATGTTTCAATCAATGACCAAAGCATTTGCTTTGCCACTGCCAAGTAGCCAGGTGATGATACACATAGTTCATGTATGTGTCCACACTTCGACTCTTTATGGCCTGCTGGTTCATGCCATTGTACTTCCGTTTGTCCTGCGGCACCGTGTTCATGTCCAGGCCCGCTAATAGGCGATGCACCTGCAGGGCCAGGGAGTGACAGAGTACATAACACCCCCATTGCATGTAACACTGTTGAATTGACACAATGTGTATTTTGGAATCACCCTGGGAACCCTCTTCTCATTGATGTGGAGCAATGTGCAGAATGCTTGCAGGCACAGTTCAAAGCCACACAGGTTGTACTTCATGCGGCCAGCAGCATCCTTGGATTCAGCCACTGGCATGTCCCCAACTCTGACAACAAAGTTTGATTACCCCACAGACCCTTTAGCAATAAGGGGAAGCCATACCAGGACCAAGCTTCTTTCTCCATTTTTCCAAGCAAGCCCAGGATGTAGCGGTTGACTTCATCTTGAGATTTGCCAGCTTCCTTCAAAGCAGTGCGCAACAAAAATATATAATAACAACTCAACATTGTTTTCTTCGCAAAACTAAAACTTAATGAGAGTAAACAAAGTCTTCCATTTTGAAAGAAATAGCTGTCCTCCACATGTGAAGCACGCGCATGGCTTCCACGGAAATGATAGATGCAGCTCTTGCTGCAGCATTTGATCTGGTCCACCTTCTCCCCAGACAGAAGCCTGGGATAAATTAAGGGCATGGAGAATCAACCATTTGGGACTTTCTCTTGGAAGGGAAGGTACAGTACAGGACTAAAGAAGGGCAAACTACAGTCATTTTGAACCTAGGAGCAGGCTTGCCTCACGGGGCACCCTCATTCGTCCAGGGGTGATCAGGTCAGGCGCATGTGTCATCGCCAAGGACCCCAGGGACAGGGGAATCATCACCCCCGTTTCATCATCGCTGGGCAGTTCCATTGCACAGCACTTAGAATGGCACAATGAACTTGTTCTGGGATGACCCTTTGATAGTCAAACTCAGCTTTGTGAGTGTCAGAGTCAGTTTAATGCCAATCATATTTTGTTGCAATGAGGGCAAACCCCAAGCCCCCTCCATGTCATCCAAAATGGCTGCACAATGATAGTCTATCACTCATCACGGCAGCACCCCATGGTTGCTTCAACATGTTACTACTCAAAAGCGCCAAGCCACCCAACCCAACCCAACCCAACCCTATAGCGGCCTTTAGCTCTTCACAGTAGCCAGTGCGTCAGGCAACCTAGGCAAGCGCAGCGATGTCCCCAAGTCCATATGGAGAAAAAAACAATCAACACAATGACAACCCACTCAAGAACCTCAATTCCATGTTTTCCCAAAAGAGGACCCACTAAAGGACCCACCCAGACAAGAACTATTAATGCTAACATTTCCCCAGACATACAGTGTATGGGTCACCGTGGCAAATAGACAGGCTGATTCATTGACACACAGATGAATTGGAACTACTTGCAGAAGTTCTGCATCACAAAGTGCAACTACCAAACGCCTCCCAGCGCATCAGGTGCGTGGGCAGGGCATGATGGTCCACAAACAGTGGCAATGTCAAGGTGACATGGTCAGTGATGACCATGCAAATCAAATGGCCGTGTGCTGACAGAAGAACTCCACTATGGTGCCAACGCAATGACGACCAGAAGTCTCAGTGCAGGCCTACAGCTGCCAGTCTGGCAGTGCACAACTTCTGCTGCCACAAGTGCCCCTCACCCTTCAAACACTTTACAACAGGTTGCTTTCCATCAATTCACATTGCCACAAAATTCATGTTGCACCTGTGCTTCTCTTCAACTACTAGGAGTTTAAATGCCCCTACGATCAAAACATCTTTCTGGTTACAATTAACAGTCCACTTTGGGATCCTATATTAAGGATGACAACTGAATTGCACAATGTCTAGTGTCCATCCAAGGCAGAACCCCTCTTGGTGCGGGCAAGGAGCCACCTTGGCAGTGGCAGCAGCGTGGCCAGCAGCTGCTGCAGCTGCAGCAGCAGCAGCAGCCAGCCAGCTCCACCCAAGCCCCCTTCCTTTCCCCATAAAATAATTGCATCCACACCCCACCCCACCCAAATCTAGCAGTTCCAAAAACTGCAACACCCAAAATCGATTTCCAAGCACCCCTTTTTGACCGCAAAAGTTTACCACATTAATTTACCTTATGCTGCACTACATTACTTTGAGCAACGTTGCGTTCGCGCACCCACACACACACACATTGACACGCGCATGCGCATGCAGACGTACATGCGTGCCTGCATTCACACACCCACACATACGAACATACACACATGCATGCATGCATGTACACACATACACACATGCGCGCTTACATACATACACACACACATACCCACCTGCATACATGCCTGCGTACATACGTACGGACAAGCATTTATTATTACGTAGGTACATACACAAATACACATACGTACGAGCGTACATACGTAGATGAATTCACAGTTACACGCGCGCGCGCATACATGCTTACATACATGCATACATACATACATACATACATACATGCATACAAACCTACAAGCTTGCACGCATACAAACATACAAACATACAAACAAACATACACACATACAAACATACACACATACACACATACAAACATACAAACATACGCACATGCGGGTTTGCATGAAACATGCGTTGCGTTACGTTACACTACATTACTTTCTTCCCGCTTGTTTCTTCGCTTGCTGACTTGCTTGCTTACATGCATACATGCATACGTGCACACATGCACACATGTGCACCTGTATGGGCACGTGCGCGCAAACTTATTTCCTTGCATACACACATACATACATGCACGCGTACATACATATATACATACACGCGCACACACACACACAACACACACACACACAAGTGTCAAAGGGCAGGCTGGCCCGTGGGCTCGCGGGCCCCTAGCGGGCTCGGGGGCCGCAGATAGATTGTTTTTATCAAGCTTTGCTGTGATACGTTTGTGACCCTCCAAATAAAGTATGATTGGTGACCCAGGCAGTTGTGCTCGTTCTGTGGTCGAATCCTAGAGGGCCGGCTAAGCCATCGCAGGATCCCTGGCCTTGCTGGTGGTCAACATGATTGCCATCGCGCAAAAACGGCATTTGGGGAAACTCCAGAGGACCCAAACGCAGGCGCAGGGACGCAGTCATTTGCTTCGGATGGGGAGGACTGCAGGTTCGGAAACGCCTGACTATGGTCGTTGCAGGGAGAAAAGCAAGCGCCTTTTAGTATCATTGCCAAGGGCCTGCTCATCCCGAAAACAGGCTACTGTTTTGCCAATTCGGAAGGAACTATTTTAGGAATGTTGTCTACTCATCCTTCTTGCGAACAATGGCAATACACAGTTTCCCATTCCTTGCGTGCAACTCAGTCACTACTAGTTGGAAAATTTCAGAATCTTACCCGGCTTCCTGAATTTCTGCCCACGTGTTCGATTTAACATGCCTGCCTACCTAGCAGCGCGACCAGCCACAGCTACGATGTGTCATGTTGTTTCCTCCTGTTTCGCCGATTGTTTGTACCTTGGCTAAACCCCAGCTTTCTCTGCGCAGGTGGAACTCAAGCGCCGCTACGTCTGCTCCAAGATGTTCAATGCCCCTGGGTCGAGAAGGTCTTAAGGGTTGTTTATTGCAGGCATTGCGCCTGCTGAGCAGAATTCTTCATTTCCTAGCCGATGTGAACATATTCTGCATCGGGTGGTAGGCATGGTAAACAGCATGTACTTGTCCTACGTCTTTGTTTGTTTTTGTTTGTTTCTTTCTTTGTTTGTTTGGTTGTTTGTTTGTTTTGCTTGCTCGCTCGCTTGCTTGCTTGCTGGCTGGCTTATTCGTGTGCTTGCTTGCTTGCTTGCTTGCTTGCTTGCTTGCTTGCTTGCTTGCTTGCTTGCTTGCTTGCTTGCTTGCTTGCTTGCTTGCTTGCTTGCTTGCTTGCTTGCTTGCTTGCTTGCTTGCTTGCTTGCTTGCTTGCTTGCTTGCTTGCTTGCTTGCTTGCTTGCTTGCTTGCTTGCTTGCTTGCTTGCTTGCTTGCTTGCTTGCTTGCTTGCTTGCTTGCTTGCTTGCTTGCTTGCTTGCTTGCTTGCTTGCTTGCTTGCTTGCTTCTTTGTTTGTTTTGTTTGTTTTGTTTGCTTGCTTGCTTGCCTGCTTGCTTGCTTGTTTGTTTTGTTTGTTTTGTTTGCTTGCTTCTTTGTTTGTTTTGCTTGCTTGCTTCTTTGTTTGTTTTGTTTGTTTTGTTTGCTTGCTTGCTTGCCTGCTTGCTTGCTTCTTTGTTTGTTTTGTTTGTTTTGTTTGCTTGCTTCTTTGTTTGTTTTGTTTGCTTGCTTCTTTGTTTGTTTGTTGTTTTGTGTAGAGACACTTGCAGTTTGCAGCCCTTCAATCGACCAAGCTTGCGAAAATCATTTGTATTGCTTTGTTTCCATTTGTGCTGCGTGGTGAACGTATGTAATTGATCAGCAAGTTGCATGCGTCCTTCGGTGTGGAAACAGGCGAGAGACGGCTAGTGTGCACGCAACAAGAATCAACCATTTGGGCAAAGTTCAGGTCGATGCAGCCATCATTTGATTCACGTGAAGCATTGTATCCCTGCTCATGTTGTAGTTGCCAGGTTTTGACATGTTAACCGATAAGCTGGATCATATTTTGCTTTGCTCCTTGCGACAGACAGAATGCCCCGAGGTCTTTAACTTCATGGTGCCCCCCTTCCTGGTGAAGCGGATCCTCCGCTACCCCGGCATGGTCGTGGCGCAGCGTGCGGGCCTCTGCAAGGGGGGGAGGCTGCAGCTGAAGAGAGGCTTATGGCGGCGGCTGGAGGTACAGAACCCATGTGCTGCTTCCAAGTACGCAGACTTGTTGCTTGTTTGCTTCACATTTTGTAGAACAAAAACATACTCATGTACCCTTCTTTCTGTCATGTGTTTCCACTTTTCGTGTTTTTCATTTGTTTTTGAGTTTCTGGTTCTGATCATTTGGTTTGGCTGCCAGAAAACCTTTTGTGGCTCACGTGTCAAGGAGTGGACAGCTTAGATCTACCTTTCCTCTCTTGCTTACTTCATTGCTGGTCACTTCCAGGTCACTTTATGGTACTTCAAGTTGTGCGTAATGGATTCGATTTCATGATATACAGCATCGTAAGACAGACTTTATGATATTCGTCTTGGGATTCCCCTGCCTTGCCTGTCCTGTGCTGTCTTCTCCTGTGCATTTGAGTCGATACTCTAAACGCAGGCTGCCTGTACTGGTGTTTGCTATTCGCGTCTGATTTGTCTGGCTTTCATCCAAACTACCATGGCCTGGATGTATGTCAACTTACCTGCTTTATTTCCTGGAACCACTGTTGCTTTGTTTTGAAAGCTCGTCACCCATAGCACAACAAGAATCCCCGATTTCTATCGGCCAAACGTGGTTACTAGCAAGAGCTCAGACAGGTACCGAGCCTTTGTGGAGTGGTAACAGAGCGTGAAGAAGCCAAAGAAGAAGAAGAAGAAGAAGAGCAAGAAGAAGAAGCAGAAGAAGAAGAAGAAGAAGAAGAAGAAGAGGAAGAGGAAATGAAGAAGAAGAAGAAGCAGAAGAGGAAGACGAGAAGCGGAAGTTGAGCAACAATGTTCACCACTATTGATAACTTTCTCGACTTTCCAAGCCGGACGCTGATTTTTCACACTTTTCTCAACAACTCCCAGCTTGAAGGCATTCACAAGTGGGAAGTTGCGAGGTGTGGAGCGTGCCTCCATCCTCTTCATCATGTTGCTGGACTTCGAGAAGCACTCGAAGACGATGAGCCCATCCAAGCTCTTTCACTTTCTGAATGCACCTGAGCTCGGACTCGGGCTGGGAGCGGGGTTCATAAGTGGTTTGCGGTTAGTTTATACGTGCTTCGTGTTTTTTGGTGGAAGGCAGCAACAAGGTGAAGGCGTTGATTTGTTCGAGTCTCGCAATGTTATATTTAAGAGGCAGTGTGTGGTTGTGTGCTGGGACACCAAAGTTTGTACGCATCCTGTACTCAGGAAGCCTTCACTCACATCGATGTGATATGTGCCGCACACGGCGTCACAAAGATTGAAACAGTGGGCCGGCGACTCAGGAATTTGATAGCTGTGACTTCCGGGACAGCCGGGCAGTCTTGTTCTTTTGAGCGGAGTCAAAATCTGCTTCTGAATGCACGGCAGTGAGCCGTGGCCTGGATGCCTGGATGCCTTTGTCTTGAGAATTGGTGGCCTGGGCTGGTTGGCAACGTCAGCGTGGATGGAACTTTTCATCAATTGCCCATAGGCATCTCAGGTAGAATCCCAATCCAATCCCCACCCTGCATCTGAGCATTCAGTAAACACTGGCCTTTCTAGATACCGCCAGGGATGTTTCCATGTTTCTTCTCCCAAGAGGCATCAGTCAGTGAGTTCAGCAGGGGCCTGGCCAGGTGAAGAGTATGTGTGCGGCGTTGGAGTGTCACCATGCGACGTGGATGAGGAGCGTCTCTGCCGCAGGGCAGTTCTCGAGGTGGCCAGGAATGCTCCCGCACCAAAGCTTCGGGGAGTCGGGCGAAGCTGATGCAGATTTTTTTCACTCGGGGAAATAGGGCCCCTTTCCCCACAGAGGTCCTGCCTTTGAAGGCTTATTGCATCTTCTCAAAGGGGAGAAGTCCAGCCATCTCTACCAAAGCCAGAAGTCAGTTGAGCCACAATAAAAAAACCCGATAGATGAAGGTTAAAGGATACTCCCAACCATAAATAGCTGCCTTCTTAATTCTTCACATAATTCTGAAAACAAAACAATACCGAGTTTTGATTACTTAGTTTACCTTCCTGTCAGGACAACTTGGAGGGCCACCAGCACTGCCTGGGGCGTCTGTTGGCGGTGGCGCTCGAGCTGCAGCGCATCCCCAGGCGTGAGGGGAGCGAGATGAGATGGATCTGGGAGGCGCTGCTTTTGAGAGGGATGGATTTTTGTCAATCGTGTTTGCACTTCGTGTTGTTTGAGATAGTTTTTGTTGATTGGCGGCCACAGACATGTCTCAAAATCCTTTCATATTCTTCCCAAGACATTCAAACGAGGGTCCCGCATTTGAGAGGTTTGCTCAGCCGGCACCCCTGCCTCCTCTTTTGGATTGGCCCTGCCAATCCCTGACGCAGTCCAGGCTTTGTTGGATGACTTCCAGAGGTTCCACACAACTCGTAGGCGTTAGGCATCAACGAGTTCCTTGACACTGTTTGGATGCAATGGGCTGGTGTGAAAGAAGATGGACATAAGATGTGGCCATCATTTGTCACACATGTCTTATGTTGTCGTTTGCTGGGTTTAGTGTTGATTCCAGGTGCAAATGTTAACATTAAGCACTTGCTCAAGAGAACACACAGGACAGGCCACCAGCACCACAGATGGCCGCACGCCTGTTCTACGTGTGCGGGTTTGTATCATCTTTCGAAAAGTGCTTGCAAAGACGAACGCGTCATTTTTCCATTGTCTCTAGCATGGACCAGTTTTGTCATTCCGAGCTAGCTTCTTGATTTATGTATGCTAGCAGCTAGCATGGCTTTCAGCGACATGTCCTGGTAGCTGCCCTGCAGGTCTGCCGAGGACAATCTCGCTGCCTGACATCACAAGTCCAACTCGCGGAAGAATTGTCAAGCACATGCGTAAAGAGTCAAAGGCGATCATGAAAACTTCGGGCATTTTGAAGGTGTAAAGCCTGTGCCAGCATGCAGGCCATTCTAGCTCAGGAGTCTTCTACATCGCCCTCGCCCGATTCGGTTGAATGAGTAAGTGCACAGTTGCATGAAGGCTTTGTGTGTGTGCGTGTGCGTCGGCTTTTCTGAAGGTTGCAAGTGTTGGACTGCAGACAGTTTAATGACCGGCAATGTGGAACTGGCTGACCTGTTTGACCTTCCCATAGAAGAGATATGCGCGCATGGCTTGTAGCGGGAAACTCCTCTCTCCACAAGGAAAGGCCTGCCCTCAAGGCTTGCTGGTTGCCTCCGTCGAACCTTGACATGGCCAGGCCAAGGCCTCATTCCTGCTGGTAGTCATAGTCAAGCGTCCATGTCAAGAAGACGCGGCGACCCGATTTCCCATTTGTTGCCGCAGAGGGAGGGTCGGACGGACTACTCACAGTACAGGATCGGAGGCGCCCTATGTTTCTCCAACATGATTCGGCCTTACAACGTATTAGGTAAGGTGCTTTGCCTCTTTTCCACAGCCCAAAAGATGCAACTTGCAACATCTACAAACCAAATACCGATGCTGTGACCGATTCTTGTAGACGTCGTGAATTCTGGACGCTGCTTCTTTGGCCATTGAAAATCTTTGCGTCCATCAAACCATCAATTTGCAGTGTCAGCCAAGCACGCAAGCACCAACCTTTGCATAAGTTGTCCTGCGAATCTGTTTAAGCGGCCGTTTCTTGACACCTATCTGAGTGGTCGGTGCTCAGGTGAAGATGGGCATCCACACTGGCCCAGTGGTGGCCGGGGTGGTTGGCAAAAGGCCAGGGTGTTCTTCTTTTCAAGCTTGTCATTCACCATGACGCCATGTAATGTCTAGGTCAATGGGCGTTGGTAGAGGGTCGAATCATTGGTAGAGGGTCGAATCAGCGACTGTCAAGGCTTAACCAGATGCCGTTGCTCTGCTGCGGCCTTGCCTTAGATCTTGCATTTGGTTTGTCAGACGTCATCAGAACCAAGAAGCTTGCTTAGGGCAATCATTGGCAAGCACGAGCAGGCGCAAAGGTCGTACCGCGAAGGCGCAAATGACCGTGGCTCCGCAGGCTGCCGCGCTTCCGCCTCTTCGGGGACACCATGAACATGGCAGCCCGAATGATGCAGAAGAGCCTGCCGGGCGAGGCGGGGGAGCGGACGTGATCCGGGCCACGGTGTGGAGTCTTTGCGTTGCTGGGAAGCTTTTCTTTATAGCAGACTTTCTCTTTCTTTCGGTTTGTGCCTCTCTCCCTCTCGACATAAAACTAGCTCTCTCTTTCTCCCTCTTTATCCATCTCGTCTTTTCCTTCCTTCCTTCCTTCCTTCCTTCCTTCCTTCCTTCCTTCCTTCCTTCCTTCCTTCCTTCCTTCCTTCCTTCCTTCCTTCCTTCTTCCCTGCTTGCCTTCTTGATTCTTTCCTTTTGTTTCTTGGTTTCTTACATTTTCTTCCTTCCTTCCTTGTTTTTTTTTTTGTGATTTCTATATTTCGCACTATCTCTCCATCGTTATCTCTTCATGCCTCTGTCTCTCCATCTCTCCATCTCTCCATCTCTCCATCTCTTCCTCTCCCGAGTTATGTATCGATCTCTATGCTCTACCTCTCTCTCCGTCTCGATCTCTCGATCTCTCGATCTCGATCTTTCTATCTCTGGATTTGTCCATCTCTCTCTATCTCTCCATCTCCCTACCTCTCTATCCCTCTATCTGCCCATCTCCCTACCTCTCTATCTCTTTGCCTCTCTATCTCTCTATCTCTCTATCTCTCTATCTCTCTATCTCTCTATCTCTCTGTCTCTCTATCTCTCTATCTATCTCTCTATCTCTCTATCTCTCTATCTCTCTATCTCTCTATTTTCCAATCTTGCTATCTCTCTATCTCCGTATTATATCTCTCTTTTCTCCATATCTTTATCTTTTCATCAATTTTTCTGTCCATGTTTCTATATCACTATCTCTACCTCTACGTCTCTCGCTCTCTCTCTCTCTCTATCTCTTTCTCTCTCCCGCCCCTTGGTGTCTTACTGACAGTAGCTCGATCAAGGAAGTGCAAGTAGGTTTGGGCTGCCAGCCATGTGTCCTGGGTCAACACCGGCCACGTTCACTTGCCACTGCAGCCTGGTTTTCCTTGTACTGCAAATTGTGGGGTCGGCTGGGCTAAGGCTGGCCTTGATGGTTCAGCTGAATTTGTCGGATATTGGCCACGATTGAGACTTTTGGTTTAGAACTGTATGAACTGGTTGACCTTAGGAACACTCACCAAATTACCATCTGGAGAATAGGGTTGCTGGTCCAATTCTCACGTCAGTCGAGGACAGCATCAATAATGATGCAATTCACACTATGTTTGCCGTGTGCTTGACGCAGGGAGATGCTGTTCGACGCATCACGTGCGCCTCAGGTTCAGTTTGGTGAGGAGACGATGAAATATTTGCCCAGCTGGGCGGAGGTGAAGAGACGAGGCTACGTTGAGCCTTGGTCTCTAAGCTCTTCGATGCACTGACACGTCGCAAAACAACCCTGCTTGTAGGGCATGGCTGCTTCTGCCCACGAAGGTTATACCGCATATCCCCTGTGCAGCACTGCTCAATTTTCCCCGCCGTCCAACAGCAGCTGTCGACATCTGAGGAGATGAAGGGCAAAGGCAACGTCATGACATATCTTTTGCAGCCTGGCTGCAACATCAGACAGGTTGGTGAAACATGGATTTTTGCTGCAGCCGTTCATGTTCGGCGCTTTGTGACACACACACACACACACACCCACACCCACACAGCCACACACCCACACACCCACACGTACACGTATTCTATGTTCTGAAGCAGATGGCATCGTGGGCCGAAAACCGCTTGCGTAGATTTCGCCCCTCAAGTCCCGAAAGAGTCAGGTTTCAGAATCAACGAGCGTAGGTTTTGCGGCTTACGGATCTTTGAGATGAGTCGCATCCGGGTGCGCGAGTGAGGGGGTTTGGATCGGGTCGCAGGCGCGGGGAGCTCCCAGAGGAGCTTGCAGGGCTGGAGGGCGCCCGCTCTGGCGGCGAATACCTGAGTGCCCTGGCGGGAATGCTGGGGTCCCTTCTGAGTGGTGAGGTGGTTTCTGTGCTTGCGCATCATTTCACTTGCTGCTGTTGGTTTTGCTGCTTGTCGCTTTTTTGTTGTTGCTTACGGAATTGTAGTAGCATCGATGTCACGCGGGCCTTCGCCAAACTCCCCATGGTTGTGCAACGCTCATTCAAGTTCAGGATCACCGTAAACCAGAGCACGGGTCTCCACACCCCGCGCACCCTATGGCAATATTTGAGCTACAACCCCGATGACAACGTGTCAATGGAAGTGCTCCCGTGGCTTCGAAAGTTTCTATGCGCCAGCCTACCTCACTTGAACTGCCAAGTGTTTGCCGTCCTTTCCCGCTTCACTTGAAATGCGTGGTGCAGATGGAGGTGACATCTAGGATTGTTTCCTTTGTGAAGCTCTTGCACCAAGCTGTGTCGCACATCGCCATGGTCTCTCGCCCGTCTGCGTGGTTCGCAGTGACAGTCATGGACTGGGGAATGTAGACAGTGATAGGTTCCCAGAGGGGCGATGCCCATGGCAGTAGGGAGTTTTGACCATGGAACAACTCTGCGCCGCAGGCATTCCCACAGGCATCCTAGACGGCCGGCCTTGGCCTTAGCGACTCAGGCGTGCAAAGGGTATTTTTTGGACACAAGAACCTCAAAGACTCAGGGCAACCTCAGGGCAACTGTTTTGTTTGCTAGAACTGCGTCCAACACAAAGAGCTGCTTCACAGCTTCTTTTCAGGCTTTCTGAGGCAAGGTGCTGGAGACAGTTGGATTGGCACTTAGTTTTCAAAGCAGTCTAAACGGTGCGCCTGAGATTTGAATGAAACTGCCAGGTACTTGATAGATTCTTGGACACCAGTCAATGTGGTTTGTCAGAGCAAGGTCCAGCCCTCCCGAGAACAGGCCGGGTCTTGCCGACTGGCCTTGCTGGGTTGCTTGAGCAGATGTTTCAGCCCCGGATACTTGAGCCTCGATTGGTGGATTCAAGGGTGGTCTGTCGACCGTCTCTGACTGGATTCTGCACTATTCTTTCTGATGCTTTCTGCATCCGCAAGTTTCTGTACAACTCCCATGCCGTTGCCGCCTGGTTGGTTGCCTAGTTGCTGGGTTTGTGAGACACGCTGCTTGATTGCAATTGCCTGTTTGCCCGGTTGCTTCGCTGGGAGGCTGTTCAGCTTTGCTTGCTCGCTCGGTTGCTTGCTGGATTTGTTCATGGTGCTCGCCGCTAGGACACCAGAACGCGCCTACAGTTTGGGATGCAGTACGGCTTCCCCGGAGAGGCTTTGGGAAGGGTGAGCGGGCACGGACTGAACACCAGTGTTGGGCAAGTCAGCACTCCAGCCTCGGTGTGCCATTCGCAGGCTGGCAAACAAGAAATAGATGGCAGTGTTTGACGGGAGTTGTTCTCCATGAATTTGATCAACAATCGCGTTTCAGCGTTCAGTGCAATTTGCGGTTTCCTGAAGGTCGTCGAATAATTGCTGGCGGACAGGTCGCGCCAGCGCGCCGCCACAGAATATGCGCCCCCCTCGCCGGAGAGGCGGGCAAGAGCGGACCCGGCACCAGAGCCAACTTCAATTGACTTCTTTGTCTAGGCATACAAAATATCCTGAATGCCAAATGTTTGCGAGGCAGCGACGGCTCAGGAGTATAAACCGCACCCTTGCATTTTCTACGCCCTTGAGCTGGCTAAAGTGCTTCATGCGTTGGGCTTGCAGAACAAGAGACAAAGATATGACAAAACACTTCCCCGGCTTTGAGCGCAGGCTTGCTTGATTTCAAAGGGGAACTGAGAGCTTGTTGAGTCAACACGGAAGCCTATTTTGCGGCAATGCATGTGCTAAATGAGCCGGATATTTATTCAGCCAAATTTGCATGTTTCTTTGGGCCCTTGAATTGATCTTATTTGCTGCTAGGCGTGTGTCATGCTTCTCTTGTCCTATTCCAGAAAAGCTCATATTTGGCCTACACGCCTGGGCAATTGGAGGTGAGGGGCTCTTGCAAATACAGGTTTGTGTATATACTTTGTTTCCATGCGCGGGATTGGTGGTGACACGCACCTTCATGAGTGTTCTGTCGGAGGAAGGCTTGCCGATGGCTTCATGGTGCCATTCTGTTGGGGCTTCTCGCCAACAGTCAATCACACTGCCAAACCAGCCTTCTCCGGTGGCAGGGCTCCTTAAAAGATACATTTTGCCCATTTGAAACATGGCTTTTTCCACCAAAATAAAGGGACGCCACCATTTACAAGGCAATGATCAGGTGTCTAATGTAAGGATCCTTCTCCAGGCAAAGGGTGATGACTAATCCCTTGTGCAGGCGATTGGACCTTCGGCCCAAGACGGAGCCCCAGGGTAGCACAATCAGCCCGCAGGCGGGGGCGAGGGTGAAAACGATGGGAGGCACGTTCGAGTTTGGCAAGACTTGAACATGCCCTTTGTAAGGACAGTATTCCAGGCAAGTGACATTTGCCAGGTTGGGGGGTACATGCAGGATCTCGTTTTACTCTTCTTCGGATGCACCATTTACACAAACATCGGCTGATACCTTTAAGTTTTGCCCCCTTTGTGCACCACGGCCATGCCTTGTTGCCTTGTGGCTCTGCGAAATAGGACCTCCCAAGAGACCTTCACAAGAAACCGCCGCCGGTTCTATGCCTTTGATCCACGCAATATTGACACATTGCCAGTACCCGTTTGAGTTATGTTGTGACACTGCATACCTTGACAGCTGTTGACGGCTGGTTTCGAAGCACGCAGAATCCGGCCATAACAGCAAGGGGTGTGGGGTCAAGCATGTTAGATCACACACACACACAGAATATGATGCGCTTCGGTATCAAAAACAACTAACAACCTTCTTAGTAGATCAAGGCAGACTCCGTGATGATCCTGGTGCAAGCCGCCCATCAAGGTCAACAAGGTCAACAAAATACCCGCCACAAGAGAGATCTTGAGCATCCTGGACTAGCCAACAATTAGCTCTAGCTCGAAGCCCAACCTTGAACAAGCTTTGAGCCATTGCTAAACCAATCCTGGCTCAACCCCAATTTGCCTTTATTTGATGTAGTCCCCCGATTCAACCCCCGAATCAATCCATGACTGATGCATCAAGACAATCTCAAAGACGGTAGCAGTGGCATCTTCATTAGCTTTTGGTTGAAGATGTATGTGCACGTGCAGCGACCGCCCTCAAGCTTCGGACGGGCGTAAAGTTCACTCATGTTTCGAATTTGATTCAGCTATATGTGACAATTGCAAATCCAATTTTATGGCAGGTTGATTGCAAGACGTGCCCAGGCCTTGTTCAGAGCGGTTTTCTCCTACCTAGGTGGTGGCAACTGTTTGATAGCAGTGCGCCTAGGTGGCCGCGAAGGGAATGCTAAAGACCGTTCGTGCAAAGAAGTTTTTCCCTTTTGTTTGGTTATTCTTGCGCAGGCGAGGTCCAATGACCGGAAGCGCAGCGCCACCCCGCATCGATTGGCAGGCTCGGGTGTGAGGGCCAGTGACTTGTGTGCCACCACCTCAAGCAGCGCTCGTGCGGCTCACGCTGGCTTTCAGAATTTTGGGTCAGTGCCACTCAAAGCATGGCAAAGGGGTTGGCCTCATCTCCTTTTCAGTGCTAGCTCCTGCTTCATTGTCAGTCATGAGTTGCGGGGTTTGAAAGGAGGTTGGTTCTCAACTGCCAGTGACACATGTACGAATCAACAGTTAGTTGGATTCACAATGGTGTGATTATCACTGCACGTCGTGGGTAATAGCTTACCGTATCCTTGATGCTTGACATTCTCGCAAAGCCGCATTTCAGCCCGCTGCGAGTTGATTCCTCTCTCTCTCCCTCCCTCCCTCCCTCCCTCCCTCTCTCCCTCCCTCTCTTTCTCGCTTCCTCTCTTCCTCCCTCCCTCCCTCCCTCCCTCCCTCCCTCGCTCCCTCCCTCTCTCCCTCCCTCTCTTTCTCGCTTCCTCTCCCTCCCTCCCTCCCTCCCTCCCTCCCTCCCTCCCTCCCTCGCTCCCTTGTTCCCTTGCTCCCTTGCTCCCTTGCTCCCTTGCTCCCTTGCTCCCTTGCTCCCTTGCTCCCTTGCTCCCTTGCTCCCTTGCTCCCTTGCTCCCTTGCTCCCTTGCTCCCTTGCTCCCTTGCTCCCTTGCTCCCTTGCTCCCTTGTTCCCTTGCTCCCTTGTTCCCTTGCTCCCTTGCCCCTTGCTCCCTCGCTCTCTTCCCTCGCTCCCTCGCTCCCTCGCTCCCTCGCTCCCTCGCTCCCTCCCTGCTCCCTCGCTCCTCTCGCTTGCTCCCTCGCTTGCTCCCTCGCTTGCTCCCTCGCTCCTCTCCCTGACTCCCTCCCTCGCTCTCCTTGACTCTCTCTCTCTCCCTCTCTCTCTTTCTCTCTCTTTCTCTCTCTCTCTCTCTCTTTTTCTCTCTGTCTCTCTGTATCTCTCTCTCTCTCTCTCTGTCTCTCTGTCTCTTTGTCTCTCTGTCTCTCTGTCTCTCTGTCTCTCTGTCTCTCTGTCTCTCTGTCTCTCTGTCTCTCTGTCTCTCTGTCTCTTTGTATCTCTGTCTCTCTGTCTCTCTGTCTCTCTGTCTCTCTTTTTTTTTTGTGTGTCTCTCTGTCTCTCTGTCTCTTTGTCTCTCTCTCTCTCTCCTGCTCTCTTTCTCTCTCTGTCTCTCTCTCTCTTTCCCTCTCTTACTCGGAGTCGAACTCTAAGTGTGTTGCATGGACGCTTTGGCTGGAGGGATCAATGCTTGTGTGGTTTGGAGCAAGAGCTGCGCACTTGGTGATTTGCCTTATTGGTAGTGCTGGGTGAACCCATGATTGCTCAGCTGCCAGAATCTCACCGTGCAGGCTTGGAATGATCCGTTCCCAGAACATCGCCCAGCTATGTTTTTCCAGATTGGTATGGTTGGTTTGTCTCCTTGTTTTCTCCTTTGTGTGACACCTTCACCTTCATCCACGGTCTACAGAGGCGTGAGCTTGCTGGCTTCGCCAGCCCCAGCTGGCCGTTAGGCCTCATGAAGGAGCTGCTGGGCATGAATGACCAGATGGAGTCCGATTACGATGGAGAGGCGAGGATGGGCATTTTGTTTTGCCAGAAGCAGTTCTACACTGCTCATCACCCAAGAATCCCTTGAGCTGCTGAGCTGAGCGGATGAGTTGTCCATGGAGATGTCGAGGTCTGGCTTAAGGCCCGCACCATGTGGGTATGGGTCAAAATTGGACCGCAGGTGATCCGTGTTTCCATTTACCAGGATTCCTTTTTGGCCACAATTTTTTGATTGAGCCATGTATTGCAGGACATCTTGGACGTGGCCCGCGAGGTGACCAAGCAGCCCCTTGGCAAAGGGAAGCCGCCGGCGGGTCCACGCTCCGAGGATTGGATCGGTGTCAGGCGACTCTCCCACGACATTTCTGACATGAGACATGTGGCAGTGAAAGCCGTAGCTCTCCCGTAGTGCTGACGACGTTCAGCAAGCAACTAGAGCAAAAATGCTGGAATAGCTCAAAAGTCGCCAGCCATAGCCTTCTTAGTATTGCTTCTGTGCTTCAAATCTCAGGCAGAGCAGCCAGATCATGACGTTGTGGGGGACGAGCAGCAGCATCCGAGCTTTCCTGCGTAGACTTGTCGACATGAAGAGGCGCAAAGCGATCGGCTGGTTGCAGTCATTGCCGGCAGGGCGGTCTGTTGATAGCATTGAGAAGTGTCTTCAAAGCTAGTTCAGATTTTAGTGCTGCCAAAAATCGGATTGAGCAGTCCTTGCACACCTTCTGAATCCGAATGTACCGGAGAGATTTTGGTTCATCCAAAGAGCATCGCGGATGCTGGTGCTGAAGTTACTGTCACAACCTTCCTGCGTGACTGAACCAATGTGGCCATGAGTCAAAATCCCCAGTGAACATCCCAATCCAACCACTAAAATAGGAAGCCTAAAATGGGTGGTGAATTCACCTATCCTAAAATGGGATCCCATTGGTTTTGACCCACGGCTATGTAAGAAGGCCGCTTTTGGTATCGTTGACCCAGCCCTTCCCCGGTGGAGGTGGGCGCGGCCCAGAAGTTTTCCAGACAGCGAGGACGAGGCGGGGGAAGCTTTACCCTGAGTCAGTGGGGGACTTGAAGAGGCCTGATTGGAAATTGCAACGTCCGGAATCTGGTTGAAAAGGGGCCAGAGGGCTTGCAGCATTGCATTCCGGATCTCAAAAGCAATTCAACTATGTGGAAGAGTGGAATTCAAGAATGTGAATGCCACTCTTTCGGAATGCTATTTGCCCCTGTTCATGGAGACAATCCATTGCCTGCAGTGATCCCTTCCCCCTCATGATAAGCTTGGACAAACATCCCTGGCGGGACGTAGTGATTGTAAATTCAAAGCCCCTCCCCATGCTTGACCACTTTGGTCCTCATCACAACAGACTTTGGTTGTTATGTGCAATTCAAGTGAAGCATCCCGCGCAACGCTCCGTATTTGTGGGGGGAGGGGGGGGGGGTTCCGGTCGAACAAATGTTCCTTAGTATGTCCATTCACCCTTAAAATGCGCCCGTTCTGAGAGCATGCAGGACTTCCAGCACTGGTTTCATCTCAACTACACCTGCCACAGAGTCTTGGATGTGAGATTCTGCTTGGTCTTGGTCAGCCTGCTTTCAGCTTCATTATTTTCCTATAGCAACAGGTGGTAAGACATATGCACAAGCTGCAAGTCTTGTGCCGGGAATGCCCTTGAGTTGCTCCAAACGCTTCCTGCTTCACACTCGTCCGGCTGCTGGAATGGTGGAGTGGTTGTTGATTGGCGTGTGGCATCAGGTGGCAATGACTGCGCACGCATGCCATACATGCATTTGGCATGCACTTATGTCATGCACGCCTTTGGCGTGCATATGCTTTGCATGCTTGGCACGAATGCGCCTGATGGTAAGAAAGGACGCTGATGCATGCAAAGCATCATGCAGTCTTGAACATGCACAGTGCAAGACGCAATGCCGGCCTCCGTGTCTAGCTGCATCCTAGGAATCGTCAAGGAGTTTCGGAAGCAGGCGCTCTCTTCCTTGTTGGTGACCCTCGGAGCTTCTGCTGCTTGGTGAACAACGTGAGAGCATGTTTGAGTGCCAACTTCAAATCAGACTGAAAGCAACCTGATGTAAGGGACAGTTGCCGTTTGTTGGGGCGTGACTAATAGCTTTCCCCTTCATTCATGGCTGAGTTTTGCACCTTTTTTGGGGAAGCGCAACATGAGAAGATTCACCAACACCACACTTAAGAAACCATGTGAAAGCGATTCAGTGAATATGAGTCAAATCAGCGCTGTGGGATCCAGTGTCCTAGGATTTCCTCAGGCATAGCAGCTTTGCATCTGTGCCCCTTTCAATTTGATCACGAATCTATGCTGTGGGAGGAATTGTCCATACCTTTGCTTGGTGTCTGCATTTGACCGAATGTGTGGGCACGCCATTGGGGAAGTCAGACGGTGCATGCTGCTCTGAAAGGCCATGAGTTTGCTATAAACGATCAGTTAGTGGCTGTGTGGCCAGCTAAGATGTTTAGTCCTTTGCTACCTTACCTCCGCAATCTCGGCTGAGCTTGCATTTTTGAGGTCTACGTCATCTTCAAAAAGGATGGTTATGAGAGCAAGGAGCACTTCTGGATTGCGTTGGACGACATCAAGTGGTGTCCTGGCAGGGCATTTGGCTCGGGCAGACGAAACAGATGCAAAGCCGCAAAGCTGGACTAGCATCGGCAGGCAACATGCCTTTTGTTGGTGACTCAGTTTCATTATGCACAGTGGCTCAGGGACACTACACAATATATATATATATATATATATAAATTTCATATTGTATAATATAGCTGTCATAACCTTCTGTATAGATATGTAGTGCTCGTACATAGCATGGGGCGATCCACCATACCACCTCGGCTTGAGTGTACTGACCACGTATAATATGAAGCTTTGTTATCACACTACCAATAGTCTCAAACTTCTCTAGCCAAGAGGGCCCGCTTTCTACGCGGAGTTTTAGAAGGCTACTGACAAACATGTTTGTTCGGTTGCTTACTTTCTTGCCTGCTTGTTTGCTTGCTTGCCTGCTTGCCTGCTTGCTTGATTGCTTGCTTGCTTGCTTGCTTGCTTGCTTGCTTGCTTGCTTGCTTGCTTGCTTGCTTGCTTGCTTGCTTGCCTTCGCTCTCGTTTGTTCGTTCGTTCGTTTGTTTCTTGTTTCTTTGCTTCTTCGTTTGTTTTTTTGTCAACGTCAACCACCTTTTCCGGGTGTATGGTGACAAACACCGCCATAACCAGCGACGGCTGGCAAGTGAATCCTCTGGACATGCAATGAAAGATCTAGTTGATGCGAACTTCATGCCAGAAGTCATATCATGACAAGCGTCAACTCGGCATGAGGCGCGCCGACATAGGCTCCGATCTCCTAAATTAGCCGAAGCCAGCCTGCCGCAATCTTTACCAAGAAACAAGGATACCACCACCCTTTGCTAAGGTTCCTCCTGTGCCGCCTGTTCATCTGGATTTTGATCCTGAGCTTTTGGTATGCTGCGGAGACTGCCTATCTCATGAGAATGGAAGCCTGCCGTGCGCAGGCAGGCTCGCTGAGAAGGGTTTGGAGAAGGGACGGAAAAAGGAAGACCCTCCACGTTATCATGGACCTGACCAGAGGGTCCCTTTAAAAGAAAATCGTCTTCAGGACCCCTCAGTCAGGTTCCATGTTCGGGGATGGGGAGGGTGTCCTACCTCAACTCGTGGAGAAGTTGCGAGATGTGAGAGAGCCGTCTCCATTCGTCGCCGTCCACTCGCTCACATCTTGTTTGGCTCTTCAGACCTGACTGCGGAGCACTTGCACAAAGCTCCCTTGGACAGAACTATTGCCATTTTCAGCGCAAAGTATGGCCTTAGGTCACAGAAGGGAAATCCAAGATCTAGTGGCCATCAGAGGTCTATACACAGGGCTTCAAAGGTCATGTACTGAACCAGTATGTCAGACATATCCAGTTTCCTTATATCCAGTGCTCAGCGTCGGTAGTGTGCGTTTGTGTGTGTGTGTGTTGCTAGAGTCTAAGAGACCCACGTTAATGGTTCACGAAGTGTTCCTGCTCAGACTGGTCCAAAGTCCTTCCGAAAAGCCAATCTTCAGATCCGCCAGGCGCTGCTCTCCACGCGGCAGCCTCAGAGTTAGCTTCCCCGGAAGGCTCAGCAAGATGCAGAACTCCGCTGGAATCGGGTTTGGTTTCAACCTGGTTCGTTCGGCATGGCGAACATCCCCTTTGCCTACACCTGACTCAAGGGCTTCTTTCGAACTTCGCCCTCCGGGAAAGCAATACAACAAGCTGTGAGGTAAACAGTGCTCACTTGATGCCACACTAACGGATGGTGTTCGAGTTAGAAACGATTGTTTGCTCCAAGCAGTTGAGGGTGAGAAATAAATTTGAGTGTGCTTGTGTCGTTGTGCTTGGATGCATGCTGAGGGTGAAGCACGCGCTGGGCATCCTCATTTGCATCTCTTATGGTGCTTTGCTAAAGCACATCGACCACAGAGTCATCTCCAACTGGAGCTGTCTACGCTGCCTGGCTGTTTGTCAGGGACCCCCCTGCGTTTGCGCGCGCTGTAGTGCACAGAGCTCACTTGTACTTGTGTCCCCTTGGTTGGCGTTTGCACGGCCTTCCGAATTGTGAACGAACTGAATAAATGGCAGGAAAATCAAACGTGCGCGGTAGGTCAAGGCAACTTGAGCTCGACTTGCTGACAAGAAGCTGAAGTCCAAGTTTAACACGTGCCGATCTTCTTGAGGCTGCAAGGGGCAGCTGGGGTTCTGAGCCACTAGCTTTGTTTTGCCCTCAATAGTTATGTGAGTCTCCTAGCAAATGGCACAAACATAGGGAGATGGACGTATTTATACTAACTGAAGACTCAAATGATGGCTGGTTGTTTCCGGAACTTTGCCAGAGAGCCATCAGTATCCGGTCATGGCTTCGACAGCCAGAGCAATTTGAAAGCAGCAAGCTCTTTTGGCTCTGTCCCACTCGTGGCGCTTAAGAACTCTATTTCACTTAGGGGCGAAGGTCTAGCATGCGCCTGAAGCACGCATCTGAGCGTGCTCTCCTTTCATGACGGTGGCGTCACTTCTGCTTGAGCGAACTCGGGTGAGACGCAGGCGAATCCAGGTTTTGTTTACCAATGCCTCGGCGGGAACGGCCGATGTTGACGTTTTGATTCTTCCTGCTGTCCACATGGTTGGTTTGGTTGGAGCTGTGGTCTGCTTTGCGGAGAGATGTGTAAGGCTTTTCCATCATTGGGATCTCGAACAACATCCTGCCGCTGGCTTTGTTCACCGAGCCTCTTGGATTCGCATGACTCAAAGCGCTTGGGATGGGTTGAGCGACGAGTTGTCTGCGGTTTGGTGGCAGAGCCACGTAGTTCCTCCTGGCTTTGTTTCATGCCCCTCGACAGAAGCGGATCACTGAGAGTCGTCAGCATGGTCAACGGATGCCGGCCACTTTCCTTGGTCAAGCCGCCAAGCCAGCTGACAAATCACCATTTCCAGACTGTGACATGTTCAGACTCAGGTTCTGCTATTGGATGACAAAGGCGCAGACCCTGTTCTTGCCTGGGGTGCTGGGCGTGATCATCACGGTCGTGGTGCTGATTGCTTTGGCCTACAAAGAAGCGGCTCGGACCGGACGCAGAGCTTTGGACCGCAGGCACCAGATTCGGCGGCGAACTTATGACAGCATTCGGGGATTCATGTCCACCACTTCAGAGGTGGTTCCCCACGAAAGTTCATAGCCATTTCTCAGATGTGACGGCTGTTTCCAAAGGAATACCGTGCTTCCTAAAAACCCCCTTCGTCCAAAAAGTAGAAGGTCCAGAATGACAGCGGGCCCAAAGTTTGAGACCGGAGCTGAGATCTGGCTGTGGCTCAAAAAAGTGGTATTGAAATGGCACCTTGGCAAATGGAACCAAAGACTAAATATTGCGTAGCTCTTGCGTTTTGATTTTGAGCCATACCCATTTGCAGATGTGACCTATGCACAACAATGGGGTCCAAGAGGCTGGAAGTTGAATGGTGACCAGAAGTAGACTGACGCCTGTTCCGCACTGCAATTCAGGTTTTTGACAATGCTAAAGTTTCTCTCTTTCGAGCAGATCAGAGAGCACCCGCATGTTTGAATCTTGTTCCCCCTTATCAACATGTCATATGCTACTGGGAAACATGTTGTCAGGGATCCTATGTCAGCACTTGCAGGTACTGTTTGACCAAGGACTTGACCACAGTTGACCCGCGCAGTTTACCACTGAGCTTTGCAGTTAAATACATCGCCTGTTCAAATTCACATATAACTTTTGCAAATCTAGCTGACTCTACATCTCAGTGATGACAACTGCTCATAGACAGTGATGTGTGTGCCTCAGAATCGTGGGACGGGTGGATCATATTCATTAAGAGGGTGCCACTGGGCGATATTTTGTAACTTTAGCACCAAGATGACATGACAAAGATGTTCGGAATGTCTTCCATAGGTGATCAAACATAGCATGCTTCATGCTTTGACCTCAGCAGCAACTCAACATGACGCCGGCACCTGATTTGGAAAGCATCCTGTGAAGACTGAGATGCAAATCCTCAAACTTTACGCAACGCAGATCCGTTTGCACAAAGCTGCTTGCGCATTGGTTTTTATTTGCGTGGGCCGCTCAGTAAGTGCGTTGATGAGACGGGGCCATTGATGAGCTCAAATGGTCCTTATTTGACTTCATTGTGTTCAGCCACAAGTTGCTTGTATTGCTAGAAGCTTGTATTTATATATATATATATTATATATTTAGGGATACTTGTTTGCCGCAGGCCAAACACGAAGGCCTGTGCGAGGAATGAATATCGAGGTCAGACGTCAATGTTAGATCGGTGTTTCAAGATCAGAGCGCAACTCCAGCAGTTGTTGTTTGCCTGAAGTGGCCCCACTTTGAGACGGCGTCGGCCCAGCTTCTTCCCGTTCAAGATGCAGTGTTGCTGTCTTGATTGAAGGCGCTGCATGTGGGGGTGTCTCTAGAGGGCACTCGTTTCAGGGTTGCTATTTCAGGGGGAACCGAAGGAAAACAACTGATTTGGTGGTAGCCCTAGACCAACCCATGTCCCAACGGAAGAAACACCTTTGAGGTCTTTTACACTGGCGGTCTGTTGACTTACCTCAACGTGCGGGCCTTAGATCTTGTGAGCTGAGACACGGGCGTTGAGCGCGGTGCATTTCTGCTTCCGCTCGCGAAGGATGGGTTTGGCCTGGAAAGTCTGGTTCGAACAGACCGACCCCCACCGCTGGTTGGAGCTAGCGCTTTAGATTGAGGTCATCAGCCTGTTCAATGCCTTTCGCATCTACTCGATGGAGTATGTCCTGCGACAAAGGCCCCTTGACCATAGAATCAATGCCAGGCAGCTCTGCTGGGTGTCCATCTTGTGGCATTGGTTCCAGGGCAGTCCGTAGCACTTAGCCAGGCTTGCCCATCCAGGACTGCAAAACTTTTATTCGGCCAAGTTGAAAATGCTTGGGCAGTTGCAAGGTTCATTGCCATGCGGCGCGTGGAGGTTATGCAAGAACGGATTGAGGCGGATGGGTTCCGGGGCAAGTTGACCGCACTTCTTTGCTGAACCCGTGTTCATTTTTCATTGGGCCTTTGTCAAAGCAATCAAATCCTGAATGCAGGACGTTCTTTGGCCATTTAAGTCATTGCCCATCATTTTAAGTCCTGAAGGGTACCGCTGCCTACCCTGCCTTCTCCTTCTAATCACCCTTCACTCGAGAGAAAGAATTCCTTTGGCCTTTGACTCATGTAGGCGATGTGAGAGTCAACAGGACAGAACATTGGAGATTAGTCCTTTGCTGTCAATCCCTGGAGATTCTCAATTTTGTTTTTGATGGTCTGGACTGATGATTTTTGCATTGAGCAATGACTATGAGGGGAAGTTTTCCCGAGCGCTATTCTGGTTTAGATCCCTATAGACTCGGGCGATTGACCTTCTGACCGGGATGGGGGGACAACTCAAGCAGTGAGTTTCCAGCGAAAGCAAGCACACTTGGTTGATCGGTTGTGGTTTGAGAGCCTGGTGGTGTGACACAACAGTTTGGCAGACTTGTTGTCAGTTTGGCTGCTTGCAATGTTGCCAAGGGCCTGATGGCAAGTCGTAACCATGTGACCCTTTGGTTCCTTGATGGAACGGGAAACGGTTCCTGAACGGGAATGCAGCAGACACATGTTCAACCACACAGCCCCAGTACATTGCAGTGGTCCGGCTTTCCGCTTGCAACAGTTGCAGGTAAAACAATATGATGCAATATGACCTGTAACTGTTCTGCTTTCTTATGCTCCACCCGCCAATGATCCACTACAAACTGGGGGAACGAGCCAAACTTCACGGGGGGAGCCCGAATAAGGCCAGAGGGGCTTAAGAGCTAATGTGGGCTCCAGGGGATTTTGAGCACCTTGATGCCGCCGCTGGTCATCGAGGAGATTAAGCGAGCCTTGCCTTACCAACGGTTTACTTTGAACCTCACAGATGTTGGCTTGCAGTCTCAGTCCTTGTTGGTTTTTTCGGTCGGTCGGTCGGTCGGTCGGTCGGCCGGTTGGTTGGTTGCAAGCAGGAAGACAACTTTAGGTCTCCAAGCCCAGAAGTACTTTCCACAAAGGAGACCATGGACTCTGTTTGGAGGTGCTTGCATTTCGCAGGTTTCGTCTAGACGGTATCCTCACTGACTCTCCGACAGAAAGAGGTCGACGTGCACTGACCACTGCCATGGCAAATGTTAACAGTCAGGGCACAGCAAGCTGCGAACAATGGGGGGGGGGTGTCGCTTGCTTCTGCCGGCCACTGATGTTTATTGTCCCTGCTCTTCGCCCTGCTCCTGTTTTTGAGACCCTGTTTGTTACTTGAGACTGCAGAATGGCAGGGCAACATGGTGCTGGCTGCCGTATCTCCCACCGCTAAAGTAACATGTTGCTTTTGCCAGCTCGCCGAACTGAGAATTTGCGCACTTCGTCTCGCACCACTACTCTTCTGAAGCTTGGCTGCACGAGAGATGTGCACATATATATATATATATATATATATAGATTTCCCATATATATATATAGATGGTACCCCCCAAACAAAATATATTAAAGAAGAAAAAAAAAAACACCGAACAACAAGGAGAGAAAGCCACGCCCCAAGAGAATCACAGTATTTGCAGTATTTTTCGGTGATTTTCGTCCCCTTTTCAGGAACCCCACATGTCAGCATTTCACTGTGCCCTCACCAGTCCATTTGACTGTGACTGTGGCCGCCCAAAAAAGCTTAAGCGCTTTAAAGTACTTTTGGATTTAAGATTCAAGATTCAAGATTTCCAGGACTCTAGATCTTGAATCTTGAATCCAGTATGGGGCACCGACGACGCTTTAAAGCGCTTTAAAGGTTTTAAGCGCTTCAAAGCACTTTTCGATCTAAGACTCAAGATTCAAGATTCCCATCGATATTTGTTTGACTTCGAAGGGTGCTTTGCACTAGTATTGACAAATGCTTGGGAGTGGCTGTTTTGCGAAGACCTGAAGACCTTGGTGATGATGTAATCGGAGCTGATAGCTTGGCTTTTTTTGTGGGCTGCTAGGCCCCGGTGTCCAATTAATTCATGCTTTGGCGCCTCAAGAAACTCACCCTTCGTGCAAAAGATCGCGCATTTGGGCCGAGAAAGGAACTGCGTCTACTTGCAAATCGCTTGAACCTTTGTACAAGTGGGGCTCGGTCGGATCTCTCCAACGCGCAAGAGGCGCAGTCACAGCAGCACCTCCGTCTCTCGCGCCGGTCGGTTCGTGTGGGCTGAGGCCACCATCGCGCAGTCGGACTTGGTGGGCTTCACGGCCCTGGCGAGCTCCAGGGAGCCGGAGGAGGCGGGGGGTGGGGGGCCTGAGGGGGTGGGGGGGGCTGAGAGCTGGATGAGGGTAGTGGGGCCTTGAGGGGTGGAAGATGGAAGGGGTCAAGAGGGTCAAGAGGGTCAAGAGGGTCAAGGTCGGCAGATGCACCAGGTCATGCATTGTTGGAGGAGATTGGCTTGATGGGAGCCGAACATGGTCTTCATTTGGCTGATGATGACGAACGCACCGGACATTTAAGCATTGTTATGATGGCCGGCTCTGTTGGCTTAATTTTTGGAAGCAACATGTTTGGCTTCAGCCCCGCTTGCCCACGTCACGAATAACTGTCTGGGTCCGGGTGGTATTACTTGGCAGGGAGTTTGCAGCTCAGAAGAATCGTGAGCCTTGATAGGTGGTGAAATTTATCAGCGAGCTCTTCGACAAGTTCGACGTTCCGTGGCCAACATGTATGGTCTAGGGGACTTGCTCAAAAAGAAAGCTCCAACCTTCGTACGTGGGCTGCGTTATTGGAGTTGCAGACAAATATGCACAACCCGCCGGAGATGGGGATGCTTGGTGAAGTTGCGATGTGGGGAGAGGTGTGGATATTCTTGGCAAAAGAACTGTTTGATTGCAATAAGTTCTGTCCAACTCGGATTGGGGGCTCACACATTGCTACTGGGCTAGGTTGCTGTCACTCATACATCCCCATCGGGCTTTTTCTATGTTGTTGCTTGAGGCTGTTTCAGGAACGGAAGCCTTGTTTGTTACACATGCTTAGCTATGTGAGATGCTTGGGTTGCATCTCAACCGATTGATTGCTGTAGGGGCGTGCCCTTTTCTTGGGGGATCCCGCCAAATTGGAGGTTGTCCTGCTTTTCCTCTTGATTTCACTTTAAGCCGACCAGCCAAAGGGTACCAGAAAAACAAAACACCCACATGGCCACACAGGTCAAGACTCTTTCAAGGTTGTCACAGCCTCTTGGATCCATGGTTTCGTCCTTCAACAGATTTGCACCAATCCGTTCTTTGCCTTTTTGCACGACATACATATGATTGTGGAATTTCAACAATGCATGAGCAAAGATACCTCTGGCCTCGAGCATGAACAGAAACATAGGTACACTTCCACGCGCAATATATGTTCTGGTTTGTCCTGCGCTTCTTGCGAAACAAGCGACATGCCTTAAAAGAGGAATACCTTGCCGCTTTAAAGAGGGCGGGGCAATCTGTTCTTCGAAGAAGGCTTGGTCTTGTAAGGCCGCCTTTGGAATGCACAGCCTGCACAGCTGATAACTCATCCCCTGTTTTTTGGTTCGGAAGACCACTCCCAAACACAAGGACGCCCCGCCCTTTTGGGAGAGTCTGCACCAAGATGTTTTGGCCCCTTTTGAAGCAGCTGAGTCATAATCAAAACCCGGTGTTAAAATGGTCGACCCGGAACCATGTAAAGAATTAAGAAGGCGGCCGCAGCTATTTGTGGTTGGGATTGTCCCTTACTAACCTTCATCTACCTGGGTTTTGATTGTGGCTCAGCTGGCCTGCTATTGCTCGTTTGTTGCAGCATTGAGCAAGTTGAAGAGAAAAGCCAGTTCAGCGGCAGGTCCTCATATCAGCCTCATATGGTAAACTCATCATGCAGTGCACTCAATTCTGGCCGGAACTGAGACGTAGTATTTGATTAAGGACCTCGCCGATCAGTACCATATCTACAAAGTTGAGACGGTGGGTGATGCATATATTGCATCTCGGCTGATCGTCGTTTGCATTGTGGGCACCAAAATGCATGTGTGAACACAGCAGAGAGTGCCGAGTGCTTGCTTTACGCGATGCTAGTGCTGCCTCCAAATGCCCAGGTGCTGGCAAAAAGAAGGGGGGGAAGGCTAGTGCAGACGCCAAGCCGAGCCCAATGGCACCTTGACACATGGGCATATCAAACAAGTCACACCTGCCGGCACCACACTGGGCGCGACATAGCCGAATCAAGCCTCGAAACAGCAGCATCATTGACCAAGTGTTGGGTCAGTCCAGGCAGGCAGGCAGGCAGTCAGTCAGTCAACCAGTCCACGTGTCCGTTTGTTTGTCCTGTTTGTCCTGTCTGTTCTTCTTGTCCTGTCTGCTTTCGGTCTTTCCGGTTTTGTCCTATCCTATCCTACCCTGACCTGCCCTGGCCTGCCTGTCTGCCTGTTTGTCCGTCCGTAACCTGTCGTCGGTGCGTTCATGTGTGCCACCCGGTGCATACGTGCTTGTTGCTGCATGCGTGTGTGAGTGCGTTCGCGCGCGCGTGTGTGTGTGTGTGTGTGGTACAAGGGAGTAGAATGAAATATGTTTGGATGGGATGTGGTCTTGGAAGCAAGCAAGTGACATTGAAACGAGCGTGCGACTTGGTCTACCTGGAACTCTGAAAAAAGAACAGGTGCTCGCTGAGGCATGTGAGGACAACTAGGCAGGAAACCGATTTTGGGATCAATGACAGCTTTCGTTCCGCGAATCCCAGGCGGGCCAGGCGGATTTTCCTCTGACGAAGTACAACCAGCCCCTGCCACTTGGACATGAGCAATGCGACAAATCACTTCGCGTTGGGTTCGGCTCGCTTACTCCCTGCTTTGTTTGTTGAACATATGCATGTTCCGCCAATGTACAGTATGGTCTGCATTCAGAGGGAGTCCGATCACAAGCATGTTTTGCACCATGTCCCCCTAAGCGATATGGACGGAGTTGCGCTTGTAAACAAGAGTGTAGTTGCATGTGAATGTGCTATCTCCAAACTTTGAGGGAAAGAAGGCAGGTTCCCCCTAGTTGGTGGTTTGGATGGGTCGTATGGCGATTTGAACCCCTGGTTCTTGTAATGGCTAGCTGCGAAACCAATCCTCAACCTCCCACCAATGTAGACGAAAGCTGAAGGGTGACATCATGGCCAGGAAGCAAGCTCCTTGATCCAAGGCTGGTTGTGCTCTTCGGCTTGCAGATGACCATGGCTGCCAGGAGCTGGTCAGCTCACAGAGGGGAAAGCATCAGCTGCTGAGCTGGATTGGCCAACTGGGTGTCCAGTTGTGTTCTTCTTTCAGGGTGTGCTCTGGACCTCCACACGTAGAGTATGTCTTTTTTGTGGCTGTTTTTGGGTTGAGGATCCTCAGTTGAACACAGCGACGATTCCAAGCGGGTCGTCAGCTCAAGCTTTTCGCTCGATGAATCGACGAGTCTCAGGCTGCCGTGTGGGCGTCCACACTGGCGAATGTGTCGGTGGAATGGCCCCTGCGCATGCACTGAGCGGCGTTGATGCGTCGCCTCTGTCTCCAGAATGCCCAATGGGGTTCTTGGGTTCCGCAGGGCAAGGACCTTTGGGAAAATGCAAGAACAAGAGTAGATGCATTGTGACCCTGACTAAAGTCTGACTGATCAGGCCACGCTTTTCGACATAGAGGAGCCTGGATTAATGTTGCCAGCTGAACCACTCAAACCCGTTTCTGTTATTCTGTTGCTTTACGTGCACTTGCCACTGGGACAAACATCTACAGTCAAGGCTTCTTGGGTGGCTCGCATGGTAACTTTCTTAGGCCTGCATCCACTTCTCTCTACGGAATTGCCGACGAGGGATTAGGTGCACACCGCCAATGCTCCCATCAATCACCACATAGATGCTGGAGTGATTGACTTCCTTGGCCCATGTTACCCGTGCTCGTTTTGAGCGACCCTTGGATGCTTCAACCAGGCTCGGGGTTCCGGGGTTGGACTCTTTCAGGTCGGCACCTCCATGCAGCGCTACCACCTTTTTGGTGACCTCATGCGGGGGCTGGAGCGGCTCGGCGCGACATGGGGCCGACTGGGGCATGGAGCGGTGGCTTCGTGAGCTTCACCCTGGGTCTGAAGTCTGGGGCCTGCGCGTTTCGGTGAGGCAGCTGGCTCAAACAGGATTTGCGTTGGCCATCCCGGTGGGGATTTACACGTTCAATGGGCATGCCGACGGTTTGCCTGGGGCAGTGCGAGTTTTGAAGCGTTTGGGTGCTGATATATATTACAGAGGGGCAGGGAGCTGGGAAGTTGTCGGCCTTGCTTTTGTTTCTTTTCCAGGACAATCACAACGAGAAAATTGTCAAACTGGCGGCTTCCAGTCACCCGATCGTCAGAAGCCAGGCAGTACTGCCAGGTACAAATAACTACGAATTTTAAGAGTTGGAACCACCTCAAATGTGGTCGGACATGAATCACCGAATTCTGATGTCCACCAAGGGTCCTTTTGGTCCCATTCCAAATCGCAGGGCTGTGTGGGCTTCATAGGATTTGTCGGTGGATGAAAACTCATCCCCAAGTTGGCCCTCTGCTTTGAACCGCTCGCCGGACCAAGGATTCTGGAGTCCACCGCCCCGAGCGGCCAGGTCCAAGTCAGCAGGCTGGGAACATGGGTCGGCTTGTGGGTACATGGGCGAATGTGTGGGCTTCTTGGCTCAAAAAGGCTGATGTGCAAGCCTCCGCAAAAGGAGACTTCATGGCGTTTTCGCGGCCGAAACTTGAACAGGGACAATACTTCTGCCATTCGAAGTTTTTTGTTTGTTTTTAAATCATACTCAGAAGATTGGTACCGTGCGCCATTTGAGCACATACTGGGTGTTTCAACTTTGCCAAATGGTACGTCAACCTGATGCATGTCCAGCGCTTGTGCATTGCGAGTCTCTTATCAGTTATCTTTTGTAGGTTGACGCTTGAGTTTGACCAGTTGCACAACTCAGAGCGGGGCCATGCCCCCCTTGAGAATGTCTCGTTCAATACTCACACAAGCCACCAAAGTACGACGTTCCTCTAAGACCACGCCCTCCGGTTTTCCTGCTTTGATTTCAAAGCTTTACTGTGAGAAAGTGAGGATGACCAAACGGTTTCAGCTTGTTGCCATCAGATCTTGGCCGGAGATGATCAACGTTGTGTGTTTTTCTTTTCGTCGTTACGCGCTTGGCAAGATCAACCCTGGGCCCGTCCTAGCCTGGCTAGGGCCTGCAAGCTGGCCGTGGAGACCCAAATTCAGCAGCACCCACAAGAGGCGTGGCAAGTGCGGCAGATCACTCGGGCCAACTGCGGTGTGTTTTGATGCCAGTTGGCATCCTTATCGTCATTGTCTTTGTAAGGGCAAACATGTCCTATTTGCATCTGCTAGTAGATCAGAATCGAACATAACTGGCATGTATATCAAACTAGACATGCAAGCGCTCGAGGACTGAACATGACATTCCTATTCAATGATTCATGCAACACCTTCGTATTCAGCGGCGCTTGGGAGCGCCCTCTTCTCGAGACTGCGTCAGGTGGCCGACGTCATGCAGCACGTGGTCTTCCAATGCCGTGGCGAACCTGTGCTGACCACGTCCAAGGGCCATCCCGGCTGCAGACAAACCAAGCCACACACCGTCAACTGGTACAACGACACGAGCGGGCCGAGGGTCGTCAAGCTGGCGATTTCTTTCGATTGAGCCGAGCCAGTCGTTTGATTTTTCGTTGGGGGCATTCGGAGAGATAGCTGGACTGTCTGGTAGTGATTGTGATTGCCTGAGGTGAGCACCACGACTACAGCGAGGTCGGGGGGGAAACCTATTTAGCCCGGCCAGCGCCCAGCAACAAAAGAGCGCGAACGCGGCCCGAGGTGTGGTCGGAATCAGCGGTGCCGGGGGGAAGTAGATGTTCAGCTGCATTTTGGACATTGGCATCAGTCCTGCATTGCCGTTTGTGGTGCGATTCCATGAGCTTGACTGCATTCAAACGTTCTAAATCCACCGGAAGTTTACCCAGAAGTTTGACAAGACTTGTGTGATGGGTCAGGTTAAGAAAGGCAGCTCGTGCTGGTATTTACCCAAGGCAAACATACGCCGGAGAATGGCAGGCCTTGCAATCTATGGCTGGACAGCACGAAAGTACTGAGACAACGTCAATGGTGCCAGATACTTGCAGTTACTTCCACTCCCATCCACAAGCATGGAACCTCGCAGTTTTTGTTTTTGTTTTGTAAAGCACTCCCTGGGTTCCATGGCAACATGGAGAGATGGGTCCACTTCCAAGTCATGGCCAGGATGCGCTTGGTCACCTTTGGACCTCAAAGCCTGGAAGAGCAACTTGCCAAGGCGGGTGACGCCGAGTTGGCCTGATATTGTGGGGGTGTACGTGAGTGATCGTGAGTGCCCCAAACCCATAACTCCACCACACACGTAAAACCAGGCGTGCCAAATGAGCCACATTGCAGCCCTAGGTTCAAGTGAGGCCAACCACACACACACACACATTTTCGACCGGTCCCAACCAGACCCCGCAGGACCTCAGGATACCGTCTCGCTGTAGCCCGACCTAGCAATCCATTGCATCGCAAGAGCTCTTATTGCAAAGAGCGTTGATGCCCTGCAAATTTTTGGGGCAGGAAAGCCGTGGCCGCGCTTCGTGTGCACACTGGAACACGAATGACAAACATGTGTGGACACGAAACAAGCACAGGCGCGGACACAGGCGTGTACACTCGAAACACAAATGCGTGTACACTCGCACAACACAGGCATCTTGCATCAGGCTTACCAGCGGCACCCCCCACATCATCACCCAGAAGGCATCCCCCAACAGAAGCCTGCAACCGGAGGACCCCTGCAACCGTACTCTGCAAGTCGCTGCGTCCCTGCATCCTACGTCAAGCTCACCAACGGCGCACTGCAACATCCATGTTTGTTTGTCAACACCTCGCTTTTTTTGCTTGAAGTTAGTCGAGCTTTCAGCGATCTGGGACAGCCAACCTAGCAAAAACCGGGGCTGTCGCAGCTTTGGGGCGGAGGCGCAGTAGGCAGGGAACACTGCAGTCGTAGTTTCCTGCTTGGTTTCATAATTGTAACGCAAGCGGCCCCCCAGGATCCTGCTTAGGTCCCCTTAGTCAGCCTTGGTGAGGGGTTGTTCGCCCACGCTCAATGAGGCTGAGGCTGTGCGCATGCCTCAATAAGGGATCCATTTTCATCGGTTTGAGCCAAAGAGTTGTGATGTTTGGTCTTGTATGTTCTCTCCATCTAAGTTACTGGCACAACTAAAACGTCAGGTGAGTCATGGTTTGTTGGCTTGTGTACCATGTGTTTGTTCAGCTGCCCCCTTCAAAGTTGGCATGCATGTAGCGCCGCCCTTTTTCCGCGACAAGCCATTCCTTCGACTCCAGGCTCGCGCCACCTTCGGGAACATCCCAAGAGGGCACCTTGGAACACATCAGCAGATCCGCGGGCGAAGAGCTGTGATCACGGGAGTTGAAGCCTGGTTGGGCTAACATGGAGAGGGTGCGGGTCTAGCAAATGATCAGTACAATTGTTTATTAAAAATGAATCCAATGTGACTACCACTGAACAGTTCTCTACGCATATGATGAGCAGGCGACCGAAGCCTACCTCCCAGGCGTCATCAAAGTCTGCTGGAAGCAAACCTTTAGCTCAGGGTTGTTCTGCCCGTGCAGAGATCAGCTTCGCATGTCAGGGACTGTGCACAACTCATTTTCAACATCCCGGCCTGGCTGAGGACGTGTCGAACAGAGGCCCCAAGCTTCGAAAGCCAAGGCCCCAGAACATGCTGGATCGGGGAAACGTAACCATTGAGATGTCTCCAAATCAGGCCTCTCCAAGTTCTCAGCCCGAGCTCGCTGCGTCAGAGATGCTGGTGCTGGGTGCTGGGTGCTAAGGCCCGGAAGCGTTTCCGCAGCGGTCCTTGCAGAAGATGTTGCGAATGCAGGCCCGCGGCCTGCGAGCTGTGACAAGGTTGTTGCTTGCTTGGCTGGTTGGTTTATGTCGGTTGGCTGCTGTTCTGGATTGTAGCTGCAAGTGTGGGGTAGGGTGGCTCCATGCACACGAATCTGGCTTGCACATCCTTACTTTGATTATTGCATCATTGAATGGCCTTCGCATCCGATGCTCGTCTGTCGCTTCGTAGGCAGCCGGGGGTAGCGCTGTTTCAGAGACATTGCTGGTCGCGTCCATCTAACCCCACACAAACTGGAGCAAGGAAATAGTGGCCAACTTGGCGAATGGCCAAACGGCCACCTCAGGGCATGTCCACCATGCCGGAGCTGCATTTGGTCTTCCCCATGGCCAACCTGCAGCCCTGGGCCAGGAGCCGGCAGATTCGCTTTATATAGTGGGTGAGGCCCAACATAGTGTTCTTCTCCCATAGTGTTCTTCTCCCACAGGTTGTTTCCTATGCAAAGAAGAGCTCTCTTGTTTGAGGCAATGGGCGTATGTTGTACTCCTTGCCTCCTTCGTCCTCCTTCGTCCTTCTTCGTCCTTCTTCGTCCTCCTTCGTCCTTCTTCGTCCTTCTTCGTCCTTCTTCGTCCTTCTTCGTCCTTCTTTGTCCTTCTTCGTCCTTGCTGCTGCTGTTGCTGTTGCTGTTGCTGTTGCTGTTGTTGCTGGCTGTTGCTGTTCCAGTTGTTGTTCCAGTTGTTGTTGTTGTTGTTGTTGTTGTTGTTGTTGTTGTTGTTGTTGTTGTTGTTGTTGTTGTTGTTGTTGTTGTTGTTGTTGTTGTTGTTGTTGTTGTTGTTGTTGTTGTTGTTGTTGTTGTTGTTGTTGTTGTTGTTGTTGTTGTTGTTGTTGTTGTTGTTGTTGTTGTTGTTGTTGTTGTTGTTGTTGTTGTTGTTGTTGTTGTTGTTGTTGTTGTTGTTGTTGTTGTTGTTGTTGTTGTTGTTGTTGTTGTTGTTGTTGTTGTTGTTGTTGTTGTTGTTGTTGTTGTTGTTGTTGTTGTTGTTGTTGTTGTTGTTGTTGTTGTTGTTGTTGTTGTTGTTGTTGTTGTTGTTGTTGTTGTTGTTGTTGTTGTTGTTGTTGTTGTTGTTGTTGTTGTTGTTGTTGTTGTTGTTGTTGTTGTTGTTGTTGTTGTTGTTGTTGTTGTTGTTGTTGTTGTTGTTGTTGTTGTTGTTGTTGTTGTTGTTGTTGTTGTTGTTGTTGTTGTTGCTGTTGTCGTTTTGCCGTTCTTGCTGTTCTTGGGCTTCTTCTTGTCATTGTCCTTGTCCTTGTGCTTGTCTTTGTCCTTGTCGTTATTCTTCTTCTTGTTTTTTTGTGTTTCTTGTTTTTGTTTGCTCCTACTCCTCCTACTCCTCCTACTCCTCCTACTCCTCCTGCTTCTCCTGCTTCTCCTGCTTCTCCTGCTGCTCCTGCTCCTCCTTCTCCTCCTCCTCCGCCTCATGATGCATGTTTGGCAGCCTGCGACGCTACCATTTGTCCAGGAACAATCCCACGGTCTACCTTCAGCACGTCTTGGCATATGCTGGATCCTCAGGCCGCGGCTTTCTACAGTCGCGGAATCGCGCACAAAGAAGCATAGTATTGTTTCAAAACACCATGTCCGCATGTGCTTCATGGGAAACACTGTTTGGGCTGAAGATTTGGCACAGGTCGCTTTGAAGAAGCAGTGGGTGTAGGACTGCAGCACAGAGTTGCAAGCTTGGGAGCTCAAGCTTGGGTTTTTTTCAGTCCTTTGCAACCTGAAGGGCAACGGCCGTTGGCCCCGCGAGTCTCGCAGCGGGGTCAGGAACGTGTTGTGTCAAGTCATGCCCGTGCTTATCGTGTTCGTCGAGCAAATGCTGGCAAAAGCATTGGCCAGTCTCCAAAGCTGGACGCCTTGCAGGCTCACCAATTTGCCTGACTGCTTGAGTAAGGGCATGGCTTCAAATGTTTCTGGGTTTTTGGCCGAGGGCGGGGACAATTCCTTGTTGCTGGCGCTGCGGGACAGGCTGGCAGACGGGACGAGACGGAATATGATGCCAGCCAATGCTCTTTAGCAGTCTTCCTCTTGACATGTTGACTTTTGTCTTGTGGACTTCTTCTTTGTGAAGGTTATTTGTGTGGAATTCGCAGCAGAATACGAGAAGATGACCCTCAGGATGACTTGGTATCTGGCCTTCATATTTCCCTTGTGACTTGTCAGTCGGACATGACAAGGCATAGGCCATGTGCATTTGATTCAACATTTGACACTTTTCTAAGCCCAAGCTGTCCTTTCTTGACCAATCATGGCAGGCTGGGTGTGGCATCCTCAGTCTCTGTGTCTGCAGAGGAGCCGGGTACTGTGAGGTTGCAGGGTGGAGGAGAACAGGAGGTGTTTCTGTTTGAAACTGTTTCAAGAGATCTTTGCCTCACAGCCTGGCGCAGTGCTGAAGTGATCCCAGCGGGTATTGAGACCAACTAGAAGGGCATGACACGCGCTGTTGACGCCTGTGCTTGCCCATATTTGGAGCCAACCTCAGGTGCCTTGCGGCTCAGATGATATACATGACACCACTCAAGTCTGAGCGAGCTTGCCAGAGTCGGTGCGAGATTCTGAGCAGTCGCATTGCGGCAAGGACGCGAGCGCCGGCTCGAAGGTCACCGTGTCGATGTCGCTGCTGCCCGAGGCGAGGTGGTAGGGGATCGGGGTCCGGGGGATACATGCGAGGAAGAGAGAAAGCGATGGCACGATGGAAGCAAACAAAGCGAGCCCCAGAAAGAAGGGGAGCAACAGTCCGGAGCGACGGGAACTTGGCACCGCATTTGTTGACACTAGGTTAGCTGGCCGAGTGTCCGCAGGGGGTGGAGAAGCTGCCGGTGGTGCTGGACGCTTTCTTTGCCTTCCTGAACCGTGCGAGGAACAGCCCGGACCCCAACCGAGTCGATTGGGAGCGGGCTGGTTGAGATTCACAAGCACCTGTGACACCACTGACCGCGAGAGATGTCTTAAATGCTCAAGCAGTTGCATTGCGACTCTTGAAGGGATTCACCACCAGCACCCTTGTTTTAAGCGAGGATTTCGTGGCTAGAGATGTCATCGTGCTTGCTTTTTCGTTTGCAGATTGGCCGCCCTCGACACGTTTCTGAACAGAGCCATTTGCGTAGCCATGGAGAGTGGAGGTTTGGGGCCCTTCTGCTTCCTGGTGGGCACCAAATGGGGGGAGAATAACGGCAAGCGCTACGAGCTAAACTTGAATGCCGGCTGCCTGGAGGTGATTATGCACGCCAACCCTCGGCGGGCGCCGCAGCGAATCCAGCTGGTCCGGGAGAGAGCGTGCTTGAAGTGGTCGGCAAGACATAGCGTCTTCCGGCTCAATCTGGATGACTGCACCGAAGATGTTCTCAGGTGGCGACGCAGCGACGGGCGCGTGGCCAACGAATGGCGGCGCTTCGGGCCGAAGCGCAGCCGCAGCCGCAGCCGAGGTCGCGCGTTGCAAAGTGAACGTGACGCCAGCGCACGCGAAGGCCCGGAAACCGTAAAAGAGGAGGAGACTGCCCCGGCAGAGGCTCTGGCGGCTCCGGAGGAGGCTCCAGAGGAGGCTCCAGAGGAGTTTGCCGCAGCTGAAGCTTCTGAGCAAGCAGACGGCACAGATTTGGAGCTTTTGGACGTTGACAAGGAGCAGGTGCAGATCCTTCTGACCACCTGCAACTTGAGGCACAAGGACAAACTGGAGAAGGATCATACCTTGGCCATCGACGTGCGAGGCTTCTGGGACCCCGGGTGCGGGGACTTGCGGGGCCACGACGGCCGGAACCCGGAGATCATCCGGCGCCTGCTGCATCACCACCTGTTCGAGGACTTGGTCGGCCACATCCGCTCGCAGCTGGCAGGTCTCTTTCGTGCCAAGGGCCCATGCACCATCAGCATCCTGCTGTACTGCAAATCTGGGAAGCACAGGTCGGTGGCCACTGGGGAGATACTGAACTACGTCCTTCTTCTGGAGGGCTACCGACATACTCAGCTGGACCATGCCAGCCTTGAGGGCTGCCGCTGTGCTTTGTGCACCACGCCCACAGCGAAGAGGTCTTTGGCCTGTGAAGAGGCCCACCGCAAGTGGCGCAAGGCCGGAGCCAGAGATCCCGATGCCTGAGCCGATTCAGATTCCGTCCCCGGAAATATCGCCCAAAGCTGGGCGATATGCAGCTCAGTGTGGTCAGAATCTGCGACCGCGGACTAGATGACTACGCCTTCTGAGTCTGGGGGACACTTTGTTTCCTGTATGGACTTCAGCCTTTAAAAGCAAGTCAATGTTAGACACCATGGCAAGCCACCAGGGTTTGTGCGCAGATGTGCTGCACCTTTGCGCTATGAGCTGTAGGGAGGCTACTTTAGATTGAAGCTTTCAGGATTGAAAGTGGCCGACACGTTTGCGTGGTTTGTTTGCTTGCTTGTTTTTGCTTGTTTTTGCCCGGTTTTGCCTGAACCTCACGGGTCTGTTGCGTTCGCTTTGGTTCCTCAGGTACCCTGGCGCAGAAGTCGGAAGTGCTCCGCTCGCTGGCCGAGCACGGGGCCCCATGGGGACCGGTGCTGGTACCGGAATGGTTTTGATGAACCAAACGTTTGAATGGCGGACAGAGTTGGTTTTGTATGGGCTCTTGAGAATATCTTTGAGCCGCAGCGGCAAACAATTGCCGCATAATCAGCTTCGGATGACCAAACACCAAGGGCCCCACAGGATGCAGAGACAGGCCGATGTGCATGATGTCTTTGAGCCCCGGTGATTTTAGTGCCAAGATTCCACAGAGAAGCCGCACGGGAATGTGAAAGCTCGGGCAAAACTCTGCCTGTTTGGCTCCCAGGACGGCGCAGCTGGGTTATGACTGGGCTGCCTTGGAGGACGGGAGCCATGAGCAGCTTGACTGATGGCTTCCCTTTCGCCTTTCCTGGCGAACGGGGGCTGATTTCCCCCCCCCCCCCCCCGCCGAGATTTCGGGGAATGAGTGGTTTGCAAGCCAATAGATGCAGCAGGAGTTGAACACTTAAGATGGGCCCTGAAGAAGCGGCTTTGAAGAAGGTGTCATTTTGCCTCCACCCAGCCGCCGCCCCCCCTTTTCAGCAGCCTGTTTGTGAAGATTTTCCGAAGGCCCTGGCACAAGGCTTGAACATCCCCTGATGAAAGTAATGCTTTGGCGGCTTAACTCCAGAATGAATCTGCAATTTTAACTGTACGTCCAAAACCTGAATTGAGGGATCTTTAAGCCAACAACCTTTATCACGGTGAGCTTGTTATGTCTCCATGTGAGCTCGCTACAAAAAAGGCACATATATCGACATTCCTTTTTAAGGGGAATTCCGGCCTTACCTTAGTTGCATGCTGGGCTCACGCCATGCACGGCATGTCAGTGCTCAACTTTCAACAAAATGCCCTTTCTCAAAGAAAAACCAAACACGGGTTGGTTCCTTGTGTGGCTTCCCTTTACCCTCCAAAAAGGGCCTTAGGTAGTTTGTACTGTGTCACCCGTTGACTGCCCACAGACAGCTTTTGCGCAACAGCTGGCTTGCTTGGCTAGGATGCGACTCATGCGGTCTACTATATGGCAGACGACATGACAAAGTTTGGCCCGCTGGGGCCCCTGAAGCGCCGTGGGGAAACTCCCCCGACTCGTTTCATGCGATGCAGAATTGTCCAGAAGGGCGTGCTGCGCCAAGGAAGCACATTTCGCATACACCGATTCCAGGAAGACGTGATGAACTATTTGAAGGGCTTTCCCAACCATGAACTGTTGAAGTTCACTTGGCTTCTCATTGCTGTTTGCAGTTTCGAATTCCAATGTTTCGCGTGTAGACCATCGCGGGCGTGTTCATAGCACCAGCCGTTTTGTGTGCTTGAGCCATGAGTTCCATTGGGCTCTCAGTGCCTTAGGTCCGAGTTGATGGTTGCTGGCAGCCTCATTCTTGAGCAAGATGTCCAGAAGGTGGAAGCCTTGCTGGAAAGGCGTGGGTTCGTGCAAGTTTGGGTGAGCCAAAGACCGACCTTAGGTTTCAGGGATGTGTTTACCCCTAGATCTGACCAGCCGGCTGCCTAGTTGGCTGCAGGCGTCAAGCACTTGGTGGCCTCAAGCCGACAAGCAATCTGTTCAAGCTCTTCATAAACTTGCATCTTGTCAGGCGAATACCAAGTGAATCTTTACGCACTTGCATTCGAGCATGCGCAGCGTAAACAAGATGGAAGGGAGTCAGAGCAGGCTGTGAGCAGTTTCAGAGACCAACTCACAGACTACTCGTACACACGTTTGCGCATTTGCACTCTTATACAATTGGTGTGCAAAGCGCAAGGGCTGCGTTCAGGAACGCTGGCTTGTTTCTCTGCTTCTGAGTGTGGCGCTTTCTTTGCCCATGGCAGCATACGTATCTCAGTACAGTCTAGTAGCCTTTTTTACAAGCATATATGTTTTCCTCAACCGGAAACAACCCACCCTCTGCGAGAGCTTGCAGAGTTTGCCATCCATTTGGGTGTCAGGCTGCGCCCTGAGCGGATGAATGTGGTGCTTGTGGATGGGTCCAACTCCGAGTACTGGCGCCGGGATGCTCAGTGGGGGATCAAGCGATCACGGGTCCAAAGCCAAACGACCTCCGGTTTGGACCAGCTGCTTGCATTTTTTTAATATAAAGGATTTTTGAAGCTGGGGCACGTTCGGCGGGATCTGAACTTCTGCAAGGCTTCACGCCTTCCGCAAACCGCCAGTTGTCGCAATATGCCCATCACAACTACTTGCTTTTTGGGGGGATTTGCAGGCCTTTCACTCCATCTAGAGAATGGGAAGGCTAGTTCTCCAAGAGGTCGGCGGGCATTGAAGAGCCCATTGACCGCCACCAACACACACACACCATCTATTGACACCTCCTCTTTTCTAGTTGCACTTAAACAGGGGCTAAAACAAGAGGAAGAACACATACTAACATTATTTCCCCATGGTCATGACATACTTGTTTTATGGTACCCCAAATCCCCATTCTGATTATTTAGCTCATATTATCTGGCGACCTTGCTTTTGAGGTGTAGGTCTTCGACGGGACGGCCTGAACTGTTTGACCTTGCCAGGCGAGCCGCCCGATGATGCCAGGCCTCGTGGGGTGGGAACTCTTCGCGTGGACTGTGCGGTGTTGTCCTTAGAGTAGTTGAGGTATTTGCTTTGAAGCCTGCAGCTGGGCCAGGAGAAAAACATTTCGGCCAAAAGCCAATGTGGCATGGGCTCTTTGGCACTCTGGCATGGGCTCTGTTGCATGGACGGGAGAGGAAGATCCGAAGTGCCCACCGCGGATTGGCAAGAGAATAATGAGTCGCCCATTCCCATAGCGAGTTGCAGGAATCATTGCAGAATTTGTTGTTTCAGAGGGCTTTGGGTACGACCAGGACGTCTGAAAAGCGAGCTACCCACTGATGTGCCGTCCTGGCAAGCATCAAAGACATGAGTGACAGTGGCTTGCTACTGCAATGCACTTCCTATTTGCTAGCAAGATTAATTTATGCGTTGAGACGAGCACAGATTCCATGGATGCGTGATGCCTCCTCAGATGCATTTGGCCAGATTATGACCGCACAATTGCGGCAAAGAGGGGCCGCCTCACATCCATTTGCACGTTTTTGGCGAATTTGGGGTGGTCCGTGCCAGTTTAGCAGTTCATATATTGTGAGCATGTCTGAAGCAACACGAAGGTTTGATCACGCTGCAACCCCATGGCAGAAGAGAGCGAAAAGCTTTGAGTTTCGCTGGCGCCATGGGTGTGGTGGAGGAGCGCCTGGAGGACTTCTTTGCGGCTCAGAGAGGATCTAGATTGTCCCCAGTGACACCACCCCTTCTGCCCCTTTTCTTCTTTCTTTAGGATCCATTTCTTCTTTGTCACTGCGGCCAAGGGGAGGGTCAAATCGCTTCTGCATTTGGGGTCACAAAATGAGACCACCAAAACTGGTTGCGATCCTTCGTTCCTTGTGGTTTCCTTTGAAAACCACAACCAAACAGGTACCCTCAAAAGGTGAGGTGCCCCCATTTGTCCAAGCATCCAACACATGAAAGCCGGCTAAGGAGAAGGTGGGTCAAGCAGTTGGTGCTCACCCAGCACCTTGGAAGGAGCATCATATCAAGGTGTGTGGAAAGTATAAGACTCGGACAGAAATTATTTAGGGTATCGGTACCCTCCTTTTTTTTGGGGGGGGGAACCACCGATTGGTTGGGGTCCCCTATTGTAAGACACACCCCCGACGGGGATCGGGATCACGGACGTTTGCTGCAGGGGCCATGGAATTTCCATCATCGACTTGGTGAAGACTCTTGCAATCTTGACGTTAGATTGGCGAGAGTTTCGGATCCAATTGGAAAACCGACAGAGTCTGCACTCCGTCCAACAGCCGACTGGGTGGCGGTGGCCGTCTTCATGTGCGCGAATGCTGCGGCTGAGGTCAAGAGCCTCTTGGGCAGCCTGGTCTTCGTCTTGGGCTGCTGCAGCTCGTCATGATGTGGCGGTCATGAAGAGAAGGGCATCACGCAACATGTCGGGTAGAAGAGAGCGGCTGACTTGCGAGGTTTCCTTGAAACGAACTAGAGTGAGGCTTCTTGCTGCGCACCACCTGCCACAAAGCTCATGGCAATTTCACTGCGTGCTTTGTGAACAGTTCTTCGAGACCAGCCTTGGCGTTCAGCCTGCAACTATGAAAATCGCTTGCCGGAAATGCTTGTGTCTGAGCCGAAGCAAGTAGTGATTAGCCACATCGACCAATTTCGGCCTTGATTGGCAAGATTCAGCCAGGAGGGCAAGGGGGTTCCCCCCCCCCCATCCCTCCATCCCCCCTTACCCCCCACCCCCCCTCCCCCCACCCCCCCACCCCCTGTCAAGCCTTTACGGACGGAGGCGGTGGCATCGCCTTTCTGAAGAGCGAGACGCGGCCGGAGAAGCAGTGGGTGGCGCAGAACGCCGTGGCACTGGAACACGACGCCTACGCTGCTTGCATTGAAACGGATAGCAGAAACTCGGTGCCCAGGACAGCTCTCGCGCTTGGCGAATTTTGTCAGGATGCTTCCAAGCAGTTGTTTCTGTTGTTGGTCTCGGGGAGGGAGCCTTGGTACGGAGCCTGGAGCCACAACTGTTCATCCATGAGCCCGGTAGTGAAGGACCTGGATCAGTTCTGCCAGATTTCCAAAGAGATCCATGGTGAGTCGGGGGTTGCCAACTCGAAGACCTACAATCCGATCCTCATCCGAGTTCGTGTGAATTCTCCTCGCATTGCGCCGCTCGGCTTCAGGTCAAAGCCACCTGGCCCAGCAATGCCCGCTTCAACCTCTTCGCTGCTACCTGCAATGACGTGGATGAAGACAACTGCCGCTCAGTGATCAATCCTTGGGAAGAGAGAGGCCAAAGCCAAGAGAGGCGTTGGATTCCATTGCGGGGTTCATGGGCGTCAGAGAAAGACCGTGGCCAAGGCAACATACTCGACCCCAAGTACCTGAAGCGGTTCCACGAGATCAATCAGCCGGGCGCCCAGAGAATGTGTCCAGGCGGAGCCGGAGAGTAGACCTATGGCTCTTCCTTCCATGGCTCTTCATAAGATTTTCCTGCAATGTACAGTAAGAACGGAGCGATCTGCCTGGCGTGATAAATTCAGCCATGACATGACCAATTATGATGGCTGAACTTTGCCTGCGGCTTGCAGGATGACCTGGATGACAATCTTGCTTCGCATTCCATCTGTCTATTCCAAACTTGCCAAGCTTCGTTGCTGGAAACATTCGACGTGGCTGTTGAGAAAGGTGTTCTGCCTGCCCATTCATGTATATCGTCTTGGCGCATTCGTTGATTCGATTTGGCTGGCCAGGCAGATCATGGATATCACGATTGACGGATCTGCTTTGGTGGGAGAGCTGAATACCCAGCACAAGCGTTCGGAGGGGCCCTGGCAGCGCTACACGGGCAACTGGAGCTCCATGGCTTTAAGCAACGCTTAGCCTAGGGATTGATTGGCTTCAAACGTGTTTGGGACCCGGGTGCATCTTGTTTGCAGGGTTTGGTTTGACGGTTGCTACGTGCCGTATGCCTGCGAATAATTCGCTTACATGAAGCGCTGCAAGGAGAACCGTGCAGATGCAGGAGAGGTAGAAGAGCATGACATATCTCAGGTTTCAGGATCTCGTAGCAGGTCAACTATGATAATTTTCCTATGAAGCCAAGTGGCCAGCTGCATGTTTGTTCGTAGGAAGTCAATATCGGCTGTTCCCACGCCTGACAAAGCACATCCCAACATTGCTGCAGGGATTTGATGCTGTTAAGAAAGTTTCAACAAACGTTTTGGTGCCTGAGGCTTCATGGGCGCGCCCAGCAGTGCCACTTGGCAAGATGCAAGGATAAAGAGGCCTTTCCGAGTCTCAGGGTCAACAAGAAGCTGTGGTTGGCTTGCCTGCTGGCAGGAGATAGAGCACACATGCACCAGGTTCATTTGGATGGGGCACTTGTATGGACCTGTAGACGCCTCCCTCCTCAAGTGTCGTGAGGTGCATTCCACGACCTTTCAAGTTGTTGGCCTTGCAAAAACAGCGGGGTTGATACTTGTAGCGTGGTTTTGTCGAGCATGGTGGCCTTTCTAAGGTCAATGGCAGCGTGTCCTTTAGCGGCCGCAAGTGCTTCGCGTTTGGGCCGTTCTGTGGCAAGTCCTCCATCATGGATGTGCCCCACGGCTTGATAGATTGCTAGTCTTGGTCAGAGAAAGGACACCTGGGGCTCAATTCATTCGCAATGTGAGGCAAGCCACTAGGAGGCCACTTAATGTATTGAGTTAGGCTCAAAAAGAAGTAAGGCACTGCTGATTTCCTTTTGGCTTGCCAATTCCGCGCTTTTCACCTTTTCTTTTGTCGCATAGGTGCGATCCCCGTTGATGGCAATGAGTCGCATCAGCCGCCGGCTCTGGTAAGTCTGCTTCAGGTTTCGAGACGATGACTACGTCGTCAACAACTTGGACACCGCTGCTGTGCAGCGAGCGGTCAACTTCTGGGAGGAGACGAGTGAGCGTCTGGAAAGACGTCGGCTTGATGCCCAATGAGGGTGCACAGCATATTTCCTGGAACTAGAAAGCCATGGTCTGTGCCTTTCAGCTCATCTCATAAGGTATGGAGGTTGGAGCAATTCGGATTCATCCTGAAGATGTAGAGGTAAAGAGACAATGAGGCACTTGGTCATCGAGGTCACAAGATTGAGTTGATTCTGTTTGAATGACTTTTTTGTGACTTGGTCCTAGCGATTTGCCATGGCGACCCCCAGATATCCGCTTGGCACTCACCAGTAGCTCTTCTTGATTTGAAGTACTGTCAGAATTACTTCTGTTAGTTTAGTATTCGGTGTTTAATGCACAAAACGAAGGCACACAATAGGGGACTCTCAAAAAAACAATACCCCTGGAAAAGGATGGACACATTGCACCAGTAGGTTATGTCCAGGTCCAGCCGAAATGCAGGCCATGTCCAGTCTTTGAGAAATTTGCATGCGCTGCACATTGTGAGCGACACAACGCCTTGCACTTTGCACAGGTGTCACTGGCAGCGGGTTCTACTTTCAGTCAGAAGCTGCAATGCTCTTGTTTTGTGGAAAGGCAGAGCTGCACTATGGCCCAGGATGCTGCGATCAAATGATTGATTTCATGAAACAAGCGCTGCATTTGTACAGCCCCCTGAGCCTCCTTTGCTTGCTCACAATTTGGCATTCAAGCGGAAGTTGCAACGCGCCAATATTCACGACATTTCACGACCCTTCCGAACTTACGATGTGATTGGCCCCCGGCTGTTTGGCCGTACACCAGGACCAAGAGACCCTTTGTCCTCTGAGCATCGCTGGAGCAGATTCGCCTTGCTTCGATAGCAACTTGCCTAAAAGGGACTCCATTTTTGGGAGCACAGCTCAGGAAAGTTGCACAAGCTGCTTGTCAACATTCAGGCACGCGCACAGGCTCCACCCGGCAAAACGGATCTGACTTTCTTCGTGGTGAGTTTTCTGGGGCTCCGAATGTGTGCAGATTGCCCAGGCAATTGCCAGAAGTACAAGACGCCTACGGAGCGAGAGGACTGCCGCAACCTGGCGCGCAGCT